AAGGAGATTCTCAATGTAGTCAGAGTATTAAACGTAACAATGAGCATTTAAAATTCTGAATAATGTTGACTTCCAAATCCAGGATCACTGCATGGTGACGACTACAGGGCTAGGAAGGATGAACAACAGAGAACTCTGCAGGTAACGGACCAGCCAAGAGCCTGTTGCCCAACATATCTGCATAAGAAAGTATTTATTTATATTATTATTTATTTAAACGCAGAAAAACTTGGTACAATATGGCACCAAGAAAGACGCGCCACACAATATTGTGTCTAACCGCTATCCAAACAACCTTCCTGACATGGTAGGACCTGCAGGGACATGAGTCCTAGCCAGTTTAGCTTGTTGGGTCACTGCGGCATTCAAGCCCGACCACCACGGCAAGGTAGCACTTATCGGTCAGGGCATAAGAAAGTGGAGATGGACACACTGAGAAGACCGTTAAGTGGCAACACGTACCAGGCAACTCCTTGAGCGGAATCCGAATCAGAAACGATAAGTTGGGTATCGCGCTTAGAGGGTGGCATGGAGTAGGTTGTGTGAGTAGGAGATGAAAGCTTATAGGCAATCGTGAAGCTAGCCAAAGAGGGCTACAGACTATAAAACAAACAAAGTAGATATGTTCTAGTCGGAACCTAAGCGAATAAAAATATCTTCACGGTTATAGAAAGAATTCAAAGCTCTTAAGGCTACGTAATCCAAAAAGATGATGTACTTTTGAACTTGTTTTATTATTGTCAAAGAAATACCAGAATTCAGGAGAATTCTGTGTATACAGCTGTAAACTTCATCCAAACAGTCCGTCAGGTCAAGTGTTCCGCACGCACACACACACACACACGCACATCTACTCACAGACTACTTCAACATGTCATTCCGGTGAGATTAAATCTGAGTTGAAACGATGCAGCAAATAGTGGTGTGACACTCACATGCAGAGAGTCAGGAATTCTCAGTCAAGATGATGATATCATGCTTTATCTTCCATTTAATAATAATAATTTCAATACAGAATTCATCATGACCCAACATCAGTTAGAAATCATTGAAAACCAGGCAACACTGGACAGCTGTTTTGTCCTAGTTATTGGAACTCTTCAGCAGCGAACACATATGGTCCCACGAGAGATCGAACCAGCGACCTTCAGATTACTGCACTGAGCTGTCCAGTACTCCTTAGTTTTCAATTATTTCTAGATGACGTTAAGTCATGACGAAATCTCTACCGAAATAAATCGAAATCCCTACAAGAAACCCATAATCTGAATAATAATAATAATAACATATCGTTATTTGCCAAATCTTTTCCACCAACCAATGAAAATATAATCTTGGTTAAGTGGTGTCTTCCTTGTCCCAGTCCCAACAGGCTTACTGCTGACAAAATCTCGCAACGGATGAAAAAGGCTCGTGTGGCGTTTGCCAACTTACCCCATCTCCAGAGTAGACGAGACATCCGGCTAGAGATCAAAAAACATGTGAACTGAGCCGAAGTTCGCTATGTCCTCCTTTACAGTTCTAAGAAATGGACACTGAAAGTGGAGGACATGAAAAGGCCGGTTAGCTGTCTTCGATCGTTAAGTGTCTGCGCTGTTTATCCACTATGTTACGTGGCACTCTATACAGTGAGTAATATTGAGGTTAGGTGTAGACTGTTAGGTAAGGAGGGAAAATCAGTCGATAAGGTGGTAAAACTACATAGATTGAGATCGTTAAGACATGTGTTACGCACGCATGTCTAGCCATGACCTTCCTCGATGGGCAATTTTATTTGACATAGGATCAGACTGGAAAATAGCTTGTAGCGATCAAACAAAAACTTGGCTGCATTACTTAATGAAATCTACAACAGTTAGTTTAAGCCAGCCAGTCACGTACTGAGGTGTAGATTTCCTGGCTGACTGGTTGGGATCCTCGGGATAAGGTGGGAACCAATGATGGCTAGAGACAATTGGTGATATGACTGAAAATCGTTCTCACATGCATTCACCCTTTGTGATTTATCATATCTAATAAAACTCAACTGTTCTTCCATATTAATATTCTGTTTCCATCACTCATATTTCTGTTTATTATCTTTCTTTTCAATCTCTCTTTACTCTGTTCACCTGTTTTGTGTGCTACATGCCCATTATCCCCATTTCTATTCAACTTTATCACAGATGTACTGATGAACTTAACTCTAATGCAATTCAGCGACTCAGGGATTGACTTGCTACCAGGGAATAATCTCGTTGATTTAGAATATGCAGACGATGTAGTCCTTCTAGGCGAGGACGCTGACAAAATGCTGAGTCTTCTGAACACCTTGAGCTGCAATCTATGAATGCTTGTCATGCGATTCGCTCCCGCCAAATGTAAGATTATGTTACAGGATTGGACTACACCGACTCCTAGATTAGAAATTGGAAGTGAAGTGGTAGAGCACGTTGACCGCTTCACTTAATCGGGAAGTTGCATCAACCGGTGCCAACGGGTTGATCTCTGACGAAATCTCAGTACGAATACAGAGGGCTAGTTTCGCATATGCCAGTTTACGCCCACTCTCTGGCGTAGACGTGATATCCGACTTTCGACCAAAGGGCGTGTGTACTACTCAGCAGTCCGCTCCGTCCTCCTTTATGACTGTGAGACCTGGCCATTGAGGGTGGAAGACATGAAAAGATTAGCTGTCTTTGATCATAGGGGCCTGCATTCTATCTCCCGTGTGAAGTGGTATAATAAGGTGAGCAATACTGAGGTCAGGCGTCGAGTGCTAGGTAGGTGAGGAGGGGAAATCAATAGACGAGACTGTGGAATTACATCGACTGAGATGGTTAGGACATGTATTACGTATGCCTAGTCATCGCCTTCCTCGACAATGGGCAATGTTACCTGATATAGAGTGAGGCTGGAAAAGAGCTAGTGGCGGTCAAACCAAAACATGGCACCAGTCAATGAAATCTACAACAGTTAGTCTAAGCCACGTAGGAAGGTGTAGGCTGGCTTCCTGGTTGGGATCCTCGGGATGGTAAAAACCAATGGTTGGAAACAATTGGTGACATGGCTCAAAATCGTTCTCAGTGGCTGTCGTAGATGCATCCACTCCTTGTGACTTATGATTTCCAATTAAACTGTTTTGTTCTTCGTTATTACTATTCCTTTGTCTCACACCTCTGTTTACTGTCTCTATTATGCATTTCTCCTACTTTCTTCACTTACTTTATGTGCTACATGGAGTGTGGCGACTTGAACTGCCGCACATCTATGCAAAGTTCTATGTTGAAACCATTCAATCATAGTCAGATTAATAAACGTAACAATGTGCATTTAATTATGAGCATGCAACGTCAAAAAGACAGAATTGAAAAGGCAAGACAGACTTTTATTGATACGAAATTAGTGTAGAAATCTACTCCACTTATAGCAGTATAAAGAACAAGATCCAGATTTTCAACATTAGTGTAAATTCAGTTAGTGTTCTTCTATATGTGGTTCAGAGACTAAGCGTGCACGTGTATTTTAAAGTATTTCGAACAGACTAGATTATTACGGACATTTATCAACAGTTGTCTTTGCTTCATAATGTGAAAATTAGATGGCCAGAAAGGATTAACAACGGCGAACTTTAGGAACGACCATACAACAATCTGTTGCTCAAAAAATCTGCCTAAGAAAGTGGGGATGGATTAAAAGTAAGCTGAAGAGACCGTTGAGTAGCAACATGCAGCTCATCAAGGGTAAATCCGACTCAGAAACAACGAGTTGCGCGTCACTGTTGTGTCCTAGTCATCGGGACTCTTCAACAGCACACACTCATGATCCCACTAGAGATAGAACCAAGGACCTTCAGATTACGAGACCAAGCTGTTCAGTGCTCCCCACACACCCACGATCCCGCTAGAGATAGCACCAAGGACCTGCAGATTACGAGACCAAGCTGTTCAGTGCTCTCTGGTGTTCAATGGTTCTCTAACTGACGTTGGTTCATGACAAAGCCTACAACATTGAAGTTAATCCAAATCCCTACGAAAACACAATCTAAATAATAATAATAATAACATGGTTTTAATTGATAAATCTTCCCCCTCTCTCTTAGCTAACTATCATCACCTTTCTCATCAACCATGGGATATATATGTAATCTTTATTACTTGATCTTCCTTATTACCGCCTTCTATTTGATGTGTCAGGGACGACACATGACAATCTGAACCACTACACTTCTTTCCTTTCACTTCTTTGAAGTTCAAGCATTAGGCTTAGAAATTCAGTAGCGATTGTGGTGTTTTAACGCAGTAAGGTTGTTAGCCTAGCATTTCTAAAAAGTTTCAAACTTTCATCAAAACAGCTGCCCACTTCGTTGGCTCGTTGACTGAAGATTAGATGGCCAGGCAGAAAGAATCAGAAACAAGGAACTTTGACAACGAACCATCCAAAAACCAATCTCCCAACAAATTTACAGAAAAAAAGAAGATGGCCGGTGAGAAGACCATCGGGTGGCGATCGCGCGCCGAACCAATCCTGAAATGGAACCCGAATGGGAAATGAAGAGTTAAGAGGAGATGAAAGCTTGTGGGCAACCATGGGGCCGACTAAAGAGTAACTTCAGAGAACAGGACGAAGTGAAGGTGTGTCGTTAAAGCCTTATATTCCACTCAGAACCCAAGTGAATAATAATAATAATAATAAGGTTGCTAGGTCTCATTCTCAACCTAACCCCCTTCCCCAGGGTTAATAACGACTAAGCGGAGTTTGGGAATGCATCCGTCGGGAGTCGAACCCGGACCACACGAACACACTAGACAGTAATGAAAAATCCGACGGTTACATGTCAGTTTTTTATATCACAAAGTGGTAATCAAATGTATTTAGATCACTAAGGTAAACATGCATTCCCTCCAAACACACACACACAAGCATAAGATTTCAAAAAGGGGACAATTTATACAGACGGTTATACAAACATCAGAAAGCTACCATGATCAATTTTTCAATTTTTGAAACATATAACATACCTTTGAAACCAAGTCAATCAAATCAAGTAGATGTTTAATTCCAATGCATAAGCTAAAAAGAAACACAAAAATTAATGAATTAATGGACAATAATAGCGATAATAACATTTTTTTAAAAAGAAAAGTTGCACTACATATTGAAATACACTAACCACATACAAGGAAACTAAGTGAAGAAAGCTACACGGTTTTCACAAATCTAACAATCCACTTACAGTGTCGTATTGCAAAATATTTGGACAAAGTAAGGAGACAAATATCGGATTTGTCTTTTTCTGGTGGGGGGGGGGGAGTATCTACTCACATTCTTATAAGGTATCGGGCTTTAGAGATTACAGATTATTATGTACGATTAAACATATACATGGAACATATTGAGGAATCCTTAGGTAAGAAGTGGAGATATGAGTTACTGGCTTAAACACACTCGAGTTCGTATCCCACTCAGCTGAATTCAGCCTAGCCAATCTGTATAGATATCATCAACCTTTGCATACTGAGTGCGGCGCACAGAAGGCAACTGAGATCTAACTAACTCACTGAGTAAAGCGTTAACGATATTCGCCTCAATGTATATTTGGTAGCATCTTCAGTTGTTTTTTTTCTGGGGGGGGGGGTATTAAAGCCTAGAGGATCTCTCCAAATTCCCAAACAGTAATGACTGATTGAGTTCTCGACGTAGAACCCTTTTTCACAATAGTGCAGCAGCAGTGCAGTTCAAATTGCCACAATCCATATAGCACACCAAGGTAACAATTTTGAACTAGAGCACCAAACGTTTCCAGCTATTTGCTTCTTAACATCTGTCTCGAGGACCACAACCAGACAGTTTAGACCCCCGAACCCCACCCCATCGCCCTACATGTTTTAAACCAAGAGCCGAAGACTTCATAGATTGATTGATGCCAAGAAGTAGTGAATACAACAAAACTACTTGTGAATGGCTCTTTTCACAATGACAATTAAAGCCAGTATGCATAGCCAGATTGAATGAAAGTATTAGGGGAAGACCTATTCAAGTGACTATTTTGGAAAAGACGGAGGCTAGTAGCTGAAACTGATTTTCATGTGATGTGTGTGATTGTCGTATAGATCTGTTTCCTGGAGAAAGATTTTCTAACCTCCAGTATGCAGATAATACTGCCTTAGTGAACGATAGCATGCTTGCTTTGCACTGCCTACGTGCAAATTATATTCTGGTAACACTGACAGGAGCCTGTCTTTGTCTGTACTCACCCTTGCAGATGAACCGCTTGAAGATGTCGACAAGTTCGTGTATCTAAGTAGTCGCATAAGTACTAGCGAAGGCGTGACAGCTGAAATCTCTATCCATATATTGTAAGCTAAGATTAGCATACGTTAATTCGGGCTATCTCTGGAGCTGTCATGATATCAGTCTGGTTGTCGAAGGTCGGGTTTACAATACTTCGGTGCGCGCACCCTTGCTATACACCTGTGAAACTTAGCCTCACTGACCTGAGGATGTACAGCAACTATGAGTAGACAACCACCATCTATTGAGTGTCGTCATCAGGAAACATCAGCTTCAGTAACTTGGACAAGTGCTACGAATGTAATCCCAGAGGCTCCTGTACAGGCCTCTATCTACTAGCCATGGAACTGGATGAAAAAAGTGGAGGTCGGCAGCGCATAACATGGCGCTGTGGGATGAAGGATATTTATGTTAGGTTAGTTAGCATCAGTTGGTAAATCACTACTCTCCGGTTGGAGTTCGAAAGACAGTTTGAATCGATGGCTCGAAAGATTACCCGATATGGTGTCAAGAGTCGCAATCAACGGTGAACATGCTACAATTTCCCCCTCTTTGAAAGTACCAAGAAGTGATGACTACTGAATGATCCTGACAAGTATATGCCTGTTTTCCTTATAAATATTGTTGTGTGGCACCACATCTCTTGGTGCCCATAATGTACCAATTCTGAGTGTTTTAAATAAATACAAACTGCCAGCACTATTATAAAATGAGATAAAGTGGAATAAAAAGCAAAAAGCAAAAAATAAAAAGCGTAAAACTGGAAAACTTACTGTCGACCAGCAAGAGATTTTTCAATAATTTGTTGTTCTTTCACCGTGAAGCGTGCATCTTCTTCCAAAGCAGCAGCAATATGCTTAGCTCGTGACAGCATACCAATATGAACATGCCATGAAAAGGCTTGTGTAAGATTTTGATCCGTCAAGGCTTCACGACAACTTGTTGTAGCCAGTACAAGCATACGTCGACCCTTTTTGTGAGAGATGAAAAAAAAACAAAGAATATTTAAGAGATGCAGCCAACCAATCAATCATGGTAAGAATTACTCATAAAAACGATTCCCCGCTGACACACTCCGTTTTACCTTACCTAGCTCCTGCTAGTAATCATCGAGAGATAGAAATGGCTGAATGTGAGGCCAGTCAACAACCACCCCCCCCTCCTCTCCGTAAATACAACAGTGACACGTTACTGTGAAACTTCAAAACTTGAAGCCATATACATTCGACTCGTGACTGGAAGCACAAATTACCTTAAATAAATAACTGATGATAAGTGTGGCTAACAGCACTGTGATGATAGGAAGTAAAGTGAATATCGCTCATCTTGGTATCAGTTTCTCTTCGAATCTCTGCTGGTCGTCTCGCATCCTTATAGATAAGATATTATTTTGATAAAATCATACAGTGTTATACAGTAATATTAACTGATGACCAAGTTTCGAGAACAATTTATTACTGCTCATAATCATATCAAGCAACTCACACAACTTTTTTCCGTCATTTATAAACGTGTGTGGAATTAACTAGATATTTGAATAAAGATCAACATAAGATAATGTATATTCGTAAATAATATTATGAGTGTTATCAATCAAATACAATTAGATGGGAAATAAGACGAGTGTTTTTATAGTCAAAATAAGTAACTTGCTAGAATGTTATAATATACGTGAATTGAAATAAAATTTTAAGATTGTTTATTATCCTCCTCTGATTTGACCGGCGGTAATAATATCTTCCATATTTCTGGCATTTGCGTTGAGTCACTTCTATTGCATGTGTTGGGTGTAGACTGGCTGAACAAGGATTCAGTAATCAATCTTTCTCTCCACCTACTAATATTACTTCTTGGAATTTTAACCTTTTCCCACCCTATTGTGTGGTTGTGTGTTAACGCATGCAGTGCAATGTAGTGCTGAGCTTTTTTTCTGAATTACTTATCTTCTCAGGGTCAAGCATTCTTACATTAGCTAAATTCTTATGTTCCGACAATCTGAATACCCCCGACCTACTGGTTTGACCTATGTAGTTGACCTCACTTACAGTCATTGCAAAGTATTTTGTAAATTATATTATTTTGTTTAATTGTTCCACCAGGTCTTTTAGCCTACAGAGCTTGTCTCTGAGTGAGTTTGTAGGCTTGAATGCCACCCTAATTATTCAAATGTCTAATCAATTCTCCTCATGTATATAAATGAAGCAAGAAAGTTGTGCGAGTAACTTGATATGATTATGAGCAGTAGTAATAAACTGTGCTGGAAAAGTGGTCACCAGTGAATATTACTGTATAACACTGTGTGATTTATCAAAATAAAATCTTGTCTGTAAGGGAGTGATACTCTACCACAGTGCCCAAGTTTTATACTTGCATCTCACATCCTGTTGGTTCCTAAGAAATTCTTCTCTTACAGTCTGTTAATTCATGTATTCTACCCATTCTCCTGTATTGTTCAAAAAAGACTACGTCAATACTACGTAGAACACTGAAGATTGCAAGCAGGCAGAGTTAGAGGGGTGTGTGTTCCTTTGACTCAGCTAACTGACATTATTGTCAATAGGCACTTTTCAATTCAATTGTTGCAAGCATTTGGCTAAAGTTATCTTGTCTGATATTGGACATACTCTCCACTCATTTTCAACTCTTCCCTGGTATCTTTTCGGGGGTTGAGACCAGAAGAAACTTCAAAAGAAGCGGTTATGCTCGCACAGCTACTAAATATAAAAATTATACCATACCATTCTACCATATTTAGCACGAGTGTTGGTTATGTGAAGAGAGGGTCACATGTCAGAGAAGAACTTATAAATGAGCTTTTAAAATCAGCAACTGTACTGAAAAGTATAAGCAAAGATTATTATTATTATTACATCTATTATCTGTGATACTATCCACTTATACCTCATTACGTTTCCACCATTGTTCTGTTTATAGTGGTGGTTTTATTATTAATATCATTATCACTATTTTAAAGTAAATGTATGTACATTTTTATAAAAAGGAGCTAAATTGTTGCAATATGTATAAAAACGCTGGAAATTCCATTCTGTATAATTACTATTATTGTTTGGAATAATGTGATCAGTATTATTATTTTTTTTTATTTCCTTCACGTGGCTTGAAGTTTCTGTAGCAGTGTTTATTTTACAGGATGGGGTTGCTAGCCTCATGCCCAACCTTTCCCCTTCACCGGCGTTATTTCTGGCTTAGCGAGGTAAAGGAGTGCGTCTGTGGCCGGGGATCGAACCCCGGACCATGTGCATGGTCGGTGAGAGTCCTAACCACTATGCCACCGACGCACAGTATTATTATTATTATTTTAAAATACACCCTAAATGAATATTGTTGCATCCGCGCTGATTTTTTGATAAATGAGATCTCGTTCGAAAACCAACACAGTCGAAATGATAACAGGACTCTATTAGATAATAAGGTTTCCTACTATAACCACATGCACTTGGTACTCATGCATGCAGTTATATTTTAGCATACAGAGTTTAAGATAATCAAAACTCAAGGTATTTTAATCTGAACTCAAGGAACTACTAATCGGCGAGTTCTTCTGTACATGGCTTGCAGGAATTCCGCGATTCACGACTCGCACAGTGCATATTTGTATTCCAATAATAGCACAACACTGTTTAATGTGATGATGGGATCTGTCGTAGTGTCCAACAACTTATATTAATTATACAAAACTCCCTCAACAACAATACCATCCTACAGTTATATTATTATTGTTTCCTTTAATTCTTAGAGGAACATAGGGCTTCAGTCGTGCGTCTCCATTGAGTTCGGTTCTCTGCTAGAGTCTTCACCTGGCTCCAAGTCTGCCCACACGTTTTCACCGCCTCTTCAAATGACCTCCTCCAAGTCACCCACCCTCGCACTGACGACCAACTCGCTGCTTCCCTTTCGGTTCCACTCGAGCAATGGCTTGTCTAGTGATGTCACTTGATGGTTTCCTCAGAGTATGGCCAGCCAATCCATCTCCATTTCTTCCTGCCTATTTGTCTCACAATCGGTTCCTGGTTGGTTCGCTCATTGCCAGAGATCTCTGTTGCTGATCTTTTCTGGCTGGCCATCTGATCTTGAGTATTGAACGAAGACAATTGTTAATGAAGGAAGGTCTGTAGTTTGTTTGAGATGCCCTTTATGACGCGCAGTGCAAGTCTCTGATCCGTATATTGAGTAGCACTGACTTCACACTGGAGTTGAAAATCCGGATCTTATTTTTGATGCTGAGTGCTGTTGACCTCCACACAGACTTGAGAGTAGTGAAAGCTTGTCTTGCTTTCCCGACAGTTATGTACAATCCAAAAGTTTTTCAGGTACGAAATACGCGCTGTACAACAAAGTTAACTATAAGCAAACAAAATACGTGGTTCAGTGTAGAGGCTTTTTTCACAGTTGCTCTTTTCAAAAGTTGACTTGCAAGGAATTGATTTATTTTCCGAATTCGATCACGGATTGATATCAGTTAGAGAACCGTTGACAATCAGAAGGGGGTACTGAACACCTGTTTCATCCTAGTTTGGGGATTATCGGCAGTAGGCACCCATCACAGGGGTTCCAACCCAAGACCTTCCGATTACAAGGCAAGCTAGCTCGTATACCATTCAATCACTGGGACCCCACCCGATTCAATGACCAAACCATGAATTCCAACTTCTACCAATTCGTGATTTTAGCCCGACCACCAGCCTCTTCAGCTGTACAGTCTCATTTATACATATACACCTTTTCTTCTCATGGGAGAGAGTAGTGACGGAAAGTGATGAGTTGTCATAATCATAGTTGTTGTTGTTAATATTAGTCAACGATTATGAAAAGAAAATGAATTCGGGCAAAACAGAACCTTTCGCTGAGCTACGTGTTTTATTTTCGTTAACGTTCGGATTGGTATAATATTGATTAATTACCTGAGAATCCAGTAAAGTATACTCAACAAGTTGGAATCATAATAACAATGGCCTGCTTAAAAACTTGGACTACCAAAAAACCTCCATCAACTTCCCTGCATTTGAATAGAGAAAAAACATATTTGCAGACAGGATAATACGAACTCGTTTTATTTCGTGGATTCTCCCTCTTCAACTGCCTACATCTTAAATAAATCAATTTTATTTTAATTGAATTTTAGATTTTCCCGTCGATTGATTGGATTGAAGTGCTCGGTCTCAGGTTAACATGTCGGCTTCTTGTGCAGATGCTTCGACTATGTCTGAGCATTTAATTAGTATTTAATTGGTGTATGGTGACTAGCAGTGGAATCCAGGATGTGCATTTCGTCCTACTTGGGACTCGTCACTGGATGTACCTGCATTTCTCAACCTGAGACCAAGCACTTCGGTCCAATCAATCGACGGGAAAATCTAAAATTCAATTAAATTAATATGACCCGTTGCACAAGAAGTGGCTCTCACGGCCCAAGTGGTCTAGTGGATAACGCTTTGGCGTTTGAAACTATGGGCACTGGGTTCCAGCCTCAGTGGGAACATAATCTTTCACTGAGAAATGCAGGTACATCCAGATGACGAGTCCCAGGTAGGGCGAAATTCGCGTTGTCCTGGATTCCACTGCTAGTCACCATCCACCAATTAAATCAATTTTATGCTACAAAGTGGTGTCTGATCATGCTGTTTTACAACGACTTCGAGTTATACACAGAAAGTACAGGCAACATAATTTCAAAGACGATGTTAGCAAAACAATTATTTAATGATAAAAGAGTAACTATTTATATAGTAGTCAAACAAGGAAGTAGAATTCAAATTTCGCTTGTAAACAAGGATAGACTAGAAACAAAATACAAGATAGAACAAAGGAGTTAATTTATGCATATTATGGTGGAGAGTTCAGGAGGGATGAGGTGAATAGTGAAGTAACATTATAAGATAGATAAACTAATTTAATTCAGTGAATTTGGAAACTCAGTAAGTGGAAATCAAAATCAAGATTCAGTGGCATGTCGCGTCACAGAACAAAACCCAAAATCACAAGAACAAAACAATTATGGTTACTAGGTAGGGTAGTGAGAGATTAGTCACACTGTCTTTCTGTATGCATAGGTTGAGTCGAAGTCTTTTGATGGCGATGACTTCTGCGAATCAAAGTAACCATGATTTTCTTGGTGTATTGATTATTTCGAAAGCCTCAGTAGTTTCCACTGTATATCCCGCGTCAATTAGATGTCTGACAATTGCACTTGAGAACACTTTACTACCTTTCAAACGGAGACTTTTAGGGATATGCTCGGAGAATCTAGTAGACGCTCTCCTCCTCTCAGTCCTTCCTATGCACTTGCGGCAGCAAGTACAGGGGAATTGGTAAACGCAGTTAAATTTGACATGCAGACCAGGATACTTATGTACTTTTGGCTGGGGTAACGAGCATACCGTGTTGTAAAGTGGAATGAGTCTAGCGACCGGAAATGTTCTTTTCAATGCATCTTGAATTCTGTTTTCTGTTCTTGTGGATACTTCTTCACCTTTGTACACTAGACCAGATAAAAATTGGTTTCTTTTACACTAATTAGGGTTTCGGTCTAGATGGTTTTTTCTTCTCATATTTTGATACGAACTTCCGAGGGTATCCATTTTTGATAAGGTTCTTTTCGACGACTGCGAGTTCCTCTTCGACCTTATCTTCTGAACATTACGTCCTAGCTCTGATGAAGGGTGTTTTTACCAGGCTCCGTTTGTAGCCGATCGAGTGAAAGCTGTGATAATTCAAGTATTAGCCAGTCCAAGTTTCTTTCCTATAGATGGATTTTTTTCAATAGTCCCATCATATCTTTTTTTATGTTGATAAGCAGGAAGTGGAACTGATTGTTACATTCATGATCCATTGTAAATGCTATGTGAGGGTGAGCCGCAGTGAAGTTTTCGAACATTGTGGATGCTTGGTCCATATTGCTGTAAACCACAAACGTGTCATCAACATACCTGCAGTAGTAGGTGGTCCTCTCTGTTTCTGGCTTCATTCGTGTATGTTGAAGATGAGCCATGAATATATCCGCGGGAATAGGATCCAAAGGTGAACCCGTAGGCACCCCATAAATTTGCCGGTACAGCTGGTTGTTGAACCGTAACTGGACGTTCTTCGTACAAAGAATTGGTAATTTTCGTAGCTCCTTCTCACGACGAGGAAGTAGTTTGGATTGCTGGCATTATGATTTTCACTATCTCTTCAATGGGTATGCTAGTAAACAGTGAACAAATATCATATGAAACGAGAAGTTTATCTGAAATGTTCAGTTGGTCTAATTCTTGTGAGAATCTAAGGAACCCTTGATACTGTGGACTGCTAACTTGGTTGACAATTCCAATTTTTGTGCCAACCACCTAGCCATAAACTGACTAGGTGAGTTGATTTGTAAACGAATGGAAATGTACCAACAGGGAAAATATTGTTTACAACGACCCACTTCCAAGAGATGCTATACAATCGAATTTTTATCTAACGAAGAATTTGTAAAACCAGTTAAATACTGGTAACTATTGTCTAGAAAATACATTACGCAATTTGATGTGTACATCTAGAAGGGAATGACTAAGTAGAGGTTGGAAAACAGAAGTCGGAATTGCGTAATAGGTGGGAACAGTGACCTGATCAATCTAAATGAGAGAAAAACTGGATAAAAGCTAGTGAAGATACGATAAACTGCATAAGGGATGTATCAGATACTACATGGTTCTTTTCGATGACTGCGAGTTCCTCTTCGATCTTATCTTCTGAACATAACGTCCTAGCTCTGTTTAAGGGCGTTTTTATCAGGCTTCGTTTGTAGGCGATCGAGCGAAAGCTGTGATAATTCAAGTAATGGCCAGTCCAAGTTTTTCTTCCTATAGATGGATTTTTTTCAATCGTCCTATCATTTCTTCTTTTTATGCTGAGAACTAGGAAGTTGATTTTGTTATCATTTGCGAATACATGACCTCCAATAATGTTTTCTAGTCTCGTGAGTATCTAAAATGTCTACAACCTGCTGATTAGCAAGTTTCTACTAAACTTGAGAAAAGCGAAATCGTAGGTGACAAAGTATCTCACAATACATGAGATACCTGTTCCTGAGAATTTTATTACAAACTGCTACCGCCTGAGAAATATAACTAACTATCTACAGTTTTTGTGCTTCAAAATGTACTCTTACACCGTCTTCAATTGTCCTTCATTCAAATATCGTGTATTTCTTGAATGAGATAAAGAAGAAACATCATAAGGGATTGGTTTGTGCTTCAGGACAGATAGTATTGTGTCAAAGCATCTACTGTCAAGTGCTATTAATTTTACTTGAAGATTCTAGAGAAACAGAAACTGTTATGCAGTAAATTCCTGTGAAAATCCTGTAGATTATCTAAACACTGTTCAGAATAAAGCTGTTATTATCATCATCAAAACTCAGTCTGCAAAAATCAAACAGAACAAACAAACGTTTGCAGTAGACAGTTCAAGGTAAAAAGCAATTACACCACGGCATAAACTTAACTTTATTGATTGTATTAGATGAGTGGAGGCAATCGGCAGGAAGCCTCACCTGACCTAGGTTTCATGCTAGTTGGCACTCACCAGTCGGCAAGACGAATATAGCTCAGTGGTAACGTCTTCTCTCACTGCAGGCGGCATTTCAGAAGGGACATGAGTTCCTTCAAGGCAGTTGTAGATACGGCTTGCTGACTGACTGGTGAGTGACAACTGGCAAAAAAACCTAGGTCAAAGAGGGCTTCCTGACGATTGCCTCCAATCATCCAGTATCAATAATCCAATTCACATTGCCCCATGATGGCAAGCCACCTAGCCTGATGGTAGCCACACTGCAAACTTGACTGATAGCATCAGTCTGCACCAAAGATAGGACTAGACACATAACACCAGTTACTGACTAATGTCCAATCAAAAAATAAACTTGACTTCAGTTAAACAAAATTGTAGTCGTAAGACAATAACATTACTACCAAGCTATCACGTCATAGTAAAGTGAAGCATTAAATAAAGGGATCAGCCAAAAAAAACAAGAATTAAGTCAAGAAAAGATGTACAAATGTTGAACGATGACGAACACGGTCAGGGGAAAAAGGATACTTATTACAAAATTACTATCAATATCGAAAATAGGATTGTTCATGGAGGGATTTTCAGATCATCAATTATTCTCCCACAGGCTACTTGGAATAAATTCACATAATAGTAATAATAATAAATAATGAGATCCGGAAACTCACCGCTTTTAATGGCTGAGATACCAAGTCACGAATTGCTTGAACCATAAAATTAGAAAATCTTGGACCAACTGGATTATACTCGATCAGACCTTCAATATTATCCACAATGATTACACTCAACGGGGATTTTGCACCATCATCAAAAATCTGCATACAATGAATTGAAGGACAATAAAAACAGAAAAAATAAATAAGAGAGACATACGAAAAGCTCTTGATAATAGGTTCACATGATAAAATTAATATATATTTACATATACATCACGCGACCAGAAGACCATCGAGTTACACTCGAATGGGAAGAGACGAGTTGAGCTTGGGTGCAAGGGTGACAAGGAGGAGATCGTATGAGGAGGAGATAAGCCCATATAGACAATCCTGGAGAAAGCTGGAGGAAAAACCTGCACAGAACAGGAGCAAATGAAGATGTAATGCTGGAGTACTGTATTCTGTCTGTCTGTTTTCGACACAGAACTTTGCACAAGTGTGCGGCAGTTCAAGTCGCCACACACAAAGCAAGAGAAGAAAGTAGAAAAAAATGCATATTAGAGACAGTAAACAGAGGTGTGAGACAAAGGAATAGTAATAACGAAGAACAATATAGTTTCATTGGAAATCATAAGTCACAAGGAGTGGATGCATCTGCACCAGCCATTGAGAACGATTTTGAGCCATGTCACCAATTGTTTCCAACCATTGGTTTTTACCGTCCCGAGGACCCCAACAAGGAAGTCAGTTTACACCTCCCTACGTGGCTCAAACTAACTGTTGTGGATTTCATTGACTGATGCCATGTTTTCGTTTGACCGCCGCTAGCTGTTTCCCAGCCTGACCCTATATCGGCTAACATTGCCCGTCAGTCGAGGAAGGCGATGACTAGGCATACGCAACACATGTCCTAACCATCTCAATCGGTGTAACTTTACAGCCTCATCGATTGACTTCCCCTCCTTACCTAGAACTCGACGCCTAACCTCAATATTGCTCACCTTATTATACCACTTCACGCGGGAGATAGAACGCAGGCATCTATGATCAAAGACAGCTAGTCTTTTCATGTCTTCTGCTCTCAATGGCCAGGTCTCACAGCCATAAAGGAGGACGGAACGGACTGATTAGCAGTACACACGCCCTTTGGTAAATAGCCGGATATCACGTCTACGCCAGAGGCGGTGTAAACTGGTATATGCGAAACTAGCCCTCTGTATTCGTGCTGAGATTTCGTCAGAGATCAACCCATTGGGGCTGGTGGTACTTCCTAAATAAGTGAAGCGGTCAACGTGCTCTACCACTTCACTTCCTATTTCTAATCTAGGGGTCGGTGAAGTCCAGTCCTGTAACATCATCTTACATTTGGCGGGAGCAAATCGCATGACAAACATTCGTAGATTACAGCTCAAGGTGTTCAGTAGACTCTGCATTTTGTCAGCTTCCCCACCTAGAAGGACTATATCGTCCGCATATTCTAAGTCAACGAGATTATTCCCTGGTAGCAAGTCAATCCCTGAGTCCCTGAAGTGAGTTAGGGTTAAATCCATTAGTACATCTATGATGAAATTGAATAGAAATGAGGATAATGGGCATCCTTGACGGACGTCGCTAGTCGTCACCACTTCAGATGACAACTCGCAGTAAGCCTTCACCTGGCTGCATGAGTACGACTAGAGTGCCTTGATCAATGCAATGTATTTTCTCGGGATTCCCTTTACAGCCAACCTCTCGGTCGACAGAATCGAATGCCGCCTTTAGGTCAAGAAATATGATAATTGTTGGACGCCGGTAAGAATGTCTATGTTCTAGAATCTGTCGAAGGGTGAAGATATGATCAATACACCCTCCTGTATTCTAGTCGGAACCTGAGGGAATATAATAGGTATAAATACTGTCAACTGCTCAACCTAAAAATGACATCATAGAATTAAAACAAGACAGATTACTTTCGATGAAAATACAAACTTTCGCTTTGAAAAAAGCACCCTTACAGACAAGTGTGCTGTGAGCTTGCTCAACCCCGTCCACACGGCGGCTTCGTATTGCATGCATTACCTCGAGGATTGGCCCATTAATCAAACAATAAAGTAGTAGTAGTAGTAACACTGGTCGTTATTCAGTGCTAATTTACCCCTCATACATCATCTCACGCACCACTATTCACCTCATCGCATCATTTCATATGCCTTACTCACTTCACCTGACTGACTGCCTACCTATCTGCCACCTTAAAACCGCACAAGTCCAGCAATCAACAACTTTGCAGATCAGAGGTATGTTTCCATCTAACTAATAGATACAGTTTCCTTTGTCCTTCATACCTAACCAAACATATTACTCACTCTGTTGCACTACCGCCTAACACAAGAGAAAGAGAACGTAAGCACCTCTAAATGCTCGAAAATCGTTAATCTGTGAGTACCTATCATTTTCAACATTTTCACCATTTATTACTTACCTTTTTCATTGCAGCACACTTAGCCATTTCAGTAAATCCGATCATTTTATGCGATGTAACAATTTTGATGAATGGAAATCCAGACAGCCGGGCAATTTCAACAGCCAGTGCAGTTTTACCAGCTTTCGGTGGACCTTCAAGGAGTAGAGTTAACGGTCGATACGTTTCAACATCAGGTTCTTTTACAGCTGATACTGCCAGCCGACCCATATCCAATGCCTGCGAGACAGTTTCACCCCACATCATTATACCACGTGGTGAATAACAACTGAGTTCTTCTTCAGATACACCAAATGCCTAGAATTTTTGGAAAAAAAATATGTATATGGTTATTTGAAAAGTTTTACACTATGTACAATGGAATTTTATTTAAATTTTACAATAATATATAATAAAATAAACGCAATAGGATAAACAAAGAAGATTTGCATTTCGGCAAATCCTTCACAAATTTGATCACAGATTAATATCGGTTAGAGAACAGGGAGTAGTACTGGGTAGTTGTTTCGTCGTAGTTTGGGACTCTTCAGCGATGCAAGGCACTCATGATGCTACAGAACCCAGCACCTCCAAGTTACGAGACCAAGCTTGTTGACTACTAAGCCACTTGGACAGGACTTCAATGACCTGTGGATTCGAACTTCTATCAATTTGCCAGCCAATGCTAATGGCGAGTATTTGTCTTTACACCCGACTTCACACAAATCAAGTATCTATACAGTAACTCCACTATAATAGTATTTATATTTAACAAAGTATTCGATATAAGGAAATTCTGTGTAGTATTGTGAAGCAATCATGCAGAGGTGCCCAATGTCCACAGTTGATAAGGAGTTCGAAGATAGAACTACTAGTGTTCTTTCTGTTCACTCTACTGGCTAACCAGACTAGACATTCTTGCAAAATAGATTTACGCACTTGACGCTATGTACGGCCAATATACTCTACTCTAAAGGCATATAATTATCATTAAAACAAACTTAGTACATCATGGACACCAAAAAATTTATAAGATTTTTTTAAAGGTGCTTTAGAATGTACTTAGATGTAGGATGAATATAAATTATAGCCGTCAAAATATTTGAGTACCTATAATTTTTTTTTATCTTTGGAAGTGACTTTTGTGCCAACAAGTGCTTTGAGTTGACCTAGAGTTGTGACTCATGATGAGGTTACACATTTTATTTATTTAAGTTCCGTCAGCTCCTCTTGTAGGGTCTTTGTAATACGTAACTCCACCAAAAACTCAATTAACTGTATTTTCGTTTGACAAAGTTAATGTACACATTTTTTTTCCTTCACGTTCCCCAGTGGAACATAGGGCTTCGAGCTAGTGGCTTGAAGTTTCTGTAGCAGTGTTTATTTTACATGATGGGGCTGCTAGCCTCATGCCCAACCTTTCCTCTTCACCAGCATTATTTCTGGCTTAGCGAGGTAAAGGAGTGCGTCGGCCGGGGATCGAACCCCGGACCATGTGCATGTTCGCTGAGCGTCCTAACCGCTATGCCACCGACGCACAATGTACACATACATACAAAATAACCACACATATATTTGCGATTGTACAGCTGCGAAAATGAATTCGCCGCCGAAAAGACTCTTCGCTGAACTACTGATCTCCTCAGCGAGTGTCCAATCCATCTCCAGTTTCTTCGGAATATTTGTTGGTTTGTTCGTCTCCAGATTTCCTGGTTAATAATCCTTTCTGACCAGTCAGCCAGCAAAGACAGCTGTTGATAAAAGTCTAAAGTTTGTTGGAAGTGCTCCTAACACAAGACTAACCTCGCCTAAATCCGGAAACAGAGGGAAGAAGCTAACGATTCTACCCTGGAAAAATAAACCATTCCAGTCATTACAGTAACTTCACAATGTGCAGAAAAAGTACAAAAAGTCAACTTCTTCCTCTCTGTAGTCGGAGAAACGAAATGACGCAGGCTGGTAAAAGCCTGCTGGGAAACCAATCAGTCGGTGTGTCTTCCGTCGATGAAAGTAAAAATATGCATCAGAACAAGGAATGTCAGCACGATGTCCGAAAACACCACAACTTACCGGTTTAATATCATGTTCTAATGCATACAGGAAATCAGCACGTTTCACCAGTAATCGATCAAATGCATCAGGATCCAGCTGAGTCTTTCCAGATGGCTAAAAACAAATGCAAAAATGTAATGGGCTCATTAAATACAATCAGTGGGAATCACCAGAAAAAATGGTCAATACACGAAGGGTTATCATTATTATTCATAAAAATCAATAACTAACTAACAACTTTAAGAATGAATGTAATGGCAAGCATAAGTATCGATATATGCATGTGTATAATATTTTAACGAAATGAAACATCAATATCACCTAACATATTGGTCCCCACCACCACCTAATAAAGACCAACTTATTACTCTGATACAAAGAGCTACATAAATGCCAAATGTGTTAGTTTTCAGGCATTTAAATGGTCTCAAGTTCGATTATGGACGGATATCAGTTAGAGATCCAGTGAAAGCCAATAAGGAGAACTGGACAGCTATTTCGTCCTAGTTCGAGACCCTTCAGAAGTGTACATTCATGACCCCATCGGAGATCGAATCTTAGGACTTTCAGGTTACAAAGTGGGCTTTATTGACCATTCAAGTGCTAGGACAGAATTTATTAACCCATCCGGTTGGCTGGCTGTCGACCAAAGGGTGTGTGTACTGCTTAACAGTTTGCTCCGTCCTCCTTTATGGTTAGCTGCGAGCGAGACATGGCCATTGAAAGTGGAAGACATGAAGAAGCCGGCTAGCTGTCTTTGATCATAGGTACCCGCGTTCTATCTTCCATGTGTGTTAGGTGGTATAATAAGGTGAGCAATATTGAGGTTAAGCTCAGTCGAGTGCTGGGTAAGGAGGGGAAATCAATAGACGAGTCTGTGAAGTTACATCGACTGAGATGGTTAGAACATGTGTTACGCACGCATGTCTAACCATCAATCGCCTTCGTCGACAACGGGCAGTGTTAGCTGACTCACATAGGATGGATCAGGTTGGAAAAGAGTTAGCTATTGGTGGTGGTGGTGGTCAAACCGAAACATGGCTTGATCAGTCAATGGATTAAATCCACAACAGTTAGTTTTAGCCAACCAGCAGGCCAGCCAACTGCGTCGGGAGGTGTACATTTCCTGACTGACTGGTTGGGATTCTCAGGATCGTGAAAACCAATGAAGGCTGGAGACAATTGGCATGCTTTACATATGTCCTAGCCATCTCAATCGATGTAACTTCACAACAGCATCGATGGATTTTCCCCCGTTAGCTAACACTGGACTCTTAACCTCAGTATTACTTACCACGTTAGACCACTGGACACGAAGGGTAGAATGCAGAAGACGCTTATGATCAAAGATAGCAAGTATTTTCATATATAAAGGAGGACAGAGTGAACGATGGATGAAAAGCCTAGCGGAGTTACAAAGAGTATATTTTTGGATGGAACAATACTGCCTGAAGTGATGTATTATATCGAATTATTATATTATTTGGTGTTCTTGCACAAGGTGATATATACTTTGCAGTAAAACAGGCTGCATACTCTATGTGGAAAGGAGAGAGCTGAACAACTTCAAAGACTACTTGCTTCATATATAATATTAAAGTCTATTTCCAGTCCCCTAATTATTTAGAGAAATCTTTAGTGAATGTCAAAGATACGATTTCCAAAATGTCACAAAATAACTGTGCCTATAGAATAAAGTGATAAGCATGTGAAGCTTGCCATATAGGGGAGAGCAGTAGACAGGTGAACGTCAGAGTGAATGAACATAGACTATGCACGAAACGTCCACCTAGAAATGAAGTAGAATTAAAAATTCTGGAGAAAAGATCGGCTATAGCAATGTATGCGATAGACAGCTGACATTAGATTGACTTCGACAATGACGAAATTCTTGGAAGAGGATTTCATTCACATAAAGAAAGATTGACTTCTGAAGACTTGCACATTTTAACCACATCAAATGCACTAAATAGGAGAGAAGGGATAGACTTATCACCTACCTATATGGCAAACTCTCATGTAGCAAGACAGATGAGACAACTACATAAACCTCTGTAACCTTTATAAAAAAATATTATCATGTTCATCACACATGAATTGATATCTTTTCCATATAACAAATAACATACACTCACACACACCGATACACACAAATATGCACATATGGCAATTTGACGTTAGTCATTACAAATATATGTGATGACTGCTTATATATTTCTATTGGTAAAAATGTCCATGGACAAATGACCTTCAAATAAACTGACATCAATTTTTGACTATGTATTTTGATGATTAATAAAATCCGAATAATTCTACTGAAGAAGCTGTGGCTTATACAGCGAAACATTCGGAAAAATCGTGTTTTGGGTTTTCTCTCAACCACGCTGGGATTCTTTTAAATAATCTGTAATGATTCAATCTGACTCGGCGCTCAAATTACTCCAGGAAATTCGTAACATCTACGGTCTGGAAATTTATAATTATATATTGTGTTTAAAATGAACTTTTCAAAATAAAGGCAATATTATTATTATTTTTCTATAGTTGGTTTGTAAGGGTTAGTTATGTTTTTACGAGTTGATCATGGATTGATATCAGTTAGAGAACCATTGAAAACCAGGGAGTACTGGACAGCTGTCTCATGCTAGTTTGGGTGCGTACTGCTGATGATTCCCAAACCAGGATGGAACAGCTGTCCAGTACTCCATGGTTTTCACTTATTATTATTATTATTATTAGTATTATTAGTATTACGACTTTTCACTAGGACTCTAGACAACTTTGTCCTGTGATTAATTAGTCACCACCAGTGAATGAGCATTGGACTAACACCTAGAGAAATCTAGCTACCTGAAACGTTTTGAAGAAGACTTATTCCAACATATTGGTACTGGCTTGACAAGGTTATCATTGAAATTTGTTATTTCGAAACCTAACAGCGAACAGGTTTTGGTCCCAACCACAAGGATCATAACCATTTGAGCTTCAATCTACTTGATACCCTAAGGTAACCAATTACCACTTTGTGTTAGTTTGATTGTTAATGCTGTGAATTTTTAACTACGATCACTCTGTTCTAAGTGTTGTCAATATAAGTGTGACGACTATTAACAACAACAAGTGGATCAGCAGATTGATCTCGTGAAATGATCATCAACTAACGATTAACTGTCACAGCAGGCAACTTTAAAAACCGATAATATCTGAGTTCTCAAGTTCTCACTACAACAACACAACAAAATCATAAGATGTACTCAAACGCACAAGCACACACACGCACATGCATGCATGCATGAATGTTAGTCATTTTATTCATCAATCTCGTCAATAAAAAAACAAAAACAACAACAACAGCAACAACTTACACTAATTAACTGATACATAGATGTAAATGCAGCAGCTCGACATAGGCCCTCAATTTCAGCACCACTGAAATTCTTGGTCTTTACAGCCAACTCCTTCAAGTCGACATCACGAGCCAATTTTCCAGATTGTTGCATTTTTGCAGTGTGTATATTTAGAATCTGCAGTCGACCATCTTCGTCTGGTAAGGAGATTTCCATTTGCATCTAAAAAGATACGTATAAAATTTAAGTGGAATGCTTTATTCTTTTGGGGGGTGGGATTTATTGGAAAACTGTTTGCAACAGTCTGTTAAGCTGTGAAGAGACACTAAGCACAAGTTGAAAAATTTCAGCTTACAGTAACCGTAAAAGCTGAGTCAGTGGTCTAAACTAAATGGTCTCATGCTGAATCCCTCAAAATGCCAGACTATTGACTTCTCTCTTAGGCATAAACGAGACCTACAAACACTAGTAAGTACCCATGAAGCCTGTTGCATTGAGAGGACTAAAATTGAAACTAAGTCTAATGCGAAATACCTCGGTATAGTTCTATCTTCCGACTTTACTTGGACATCTCATATCGTAACGATTTCTACGGAAGTGTTCTGTCTAACCTACTACATTAAGAAACTTAGACAATCTGGAATCACCCTACCTCTACCTTCACAATTTGTCAACTCTTGTATCTTACCTATTCTACTTTACTGCTGCCCGTTAGTCTTTCCTGGGCTACTGAAAAAGGACTATACCATCCTGAGAAAGATGTTGAAGGTAGTTAGTAGGACTAGTGGTGTAAAACTCAGTCAGCTCGTCACTATATTAATTGAAAGGCATCTAAATACATGCCAAAATGGTCTAAAACCACACTCTCCGACCTCCAACACTCCCTCTATTCCCAACTCTCGCCTTGTATCTCATCAGGTAGAAGCAGAAATCAGTATAAAATAATCCATGCTCGTACAACCAAGTACAGGAACTTAACGATACCATACTTGGCCCGTGTTCTAAGTGACAGAGACAATGTTAAGCGCGAAATCTATGACTTACTTTGTTGTTAATAACATAATTTTAGGCTCTTTTATTTCTCTCTTATTTTGTATTCTATAGTGAACACCTTCTTAAGCACACTTAGCTACCTAAATTATTAACATTGGCTTACTTTTTTGTACTTTATTCCTTCTTTTGTGTATCCACTGGTTCCGACTCTATTAGCACTATGAGTATTACAAAATTGTCCTGTCATTAACCATCATGTAATTATTAGTTTTTGTGGTTATTGTTGTTTTTTTGTTCGGCAATATTAACTGACAATCTTGGTTGTGAACGCCAATATCACCATCTTAAAATTTTGTATTATGCAGGATTACTCACACTACCACTACAAACACCGCATTAGAGCTGTCAATAAAAAACCCTGAAATGTTATTTTATGATTGTTTAGTGTTGTTCAATCAAATTAACTGATCATCTTGGCGATAAACATTCTTAAATATCATTACACAACTTCATGTATGGCTATAGCTTTACTGTCACCATGGATAAACATATCACAGCTTCCACTACCCAGTACTGAGATTTTATTTTATGTTGTTTATTTTCCTTTCTACTTCTTGGAATTTTTTCGCTTTTTAAAAAAATTACTTTTGTGTTTTTGTGTTTTTTCTTGTTGTTGTCTTTATATTTGTTTTTTGAAATGCATACATTGTAGATATGTGCTGAAAATTCCACACTGTACCACTAGTACTGTTTCTGGAAGAAAGCAAATTATTATTATTATTATTATTAGTAGTAGTAGTAGTATCGTTGTCAAAACTAAGTTGAAGAATGAGGAGTTTGAGAAATTATTGTTTTCACTACACTGGGAAATACAAAACTCTTATGTGTGTAATACTAAAGCTACGTCGTCGGTGGTTCAGTGATAGAATTTTCACCAACCACGCAAGTGCGTCGGTAGCACAATGGTGGAATACTCGCCAACCACGCCTCATTTGGTCCGGGAATCGATCCCCAATCGACGCACTCCTTTACCTCGCTAAGCCAGAAATAAGACTGGTAAAGAGGGAAGGTTGGACATGAGGCTAGCAATCCCAGCCCGTATAAAATGAACACCACTGCTACCGAAACTGCAAGCCACTGGCAACGTAAAGGAATAAAAAAGACGCGTGTGGCCCAGGACAAATTCCTGACCGACTCACTCAGTTTACTAACCGATAATAAAATATGAAGTACAATGCTCGTAGCTTAACAAATCTTTGTGAGTTGTATCACACTTTAATAGATTGGTGTAGCTGATGAATGGTAATTTTGATATCGGATAGGAAATGCATTTTTTGGCTCTTGCTTGTTTGCGTCACACATACACACACACATTGCGAATAAGACATAAAACTTTAAATATAAAAGATTTGACCAGAGCATGAATCAGTCTGCCAGATTTTTATTGTACTACTGAAAAAAGGTCTATCGATGACAAATCTGTTTTCTCAGTACCATTATGTGACGGAATGAAGTAATTTCTTTCACTTATGTAGGTAGCACTGCCTCGACTACATGCGTCACGAATGAAAATGTCAAAGCCAGAGAAATTCAGAAAGGCAAGATAGACCCTAATTAATCTAAATTCAGTGTGGAAATCTACTGTACTCAGCATCAAGTACAAGATTCCGCTTTTCGGCACTACTGTCAAGTCATGGTTCAGAGACTAAGCGCGCACCTGCCACCAAAAGCATTTTCCAGCAAACTACTACTGCAGACTTTGATCAACGGCTGCCCCTTCGTTCCATACTGAAGATAAGATGACGCGTCGGAAATGATCAGCGACAAAGAACTCTGTACCAACGGACCAACGCAGAACCTATCGCTCGACAAATATACAGAAGATTTTGAGTGGTATCACCCTCGAATGGAACCTGAATGGGAAACGACAAGTTGGGCGTAAGTCAGAAGGTGGCATGTACGAGATCGTATGAGGAGGAGATGAGAGATTATGGGAAATCGTGGAGCCGGCTAAACAGGATGAAATGACAATGCGCTGTTGAAGCCCTATGCGTCACTCGGAATCTAAGGATGGCTGACAGATTCCCTTACGCATATCTATATTCACTAGTGATGATGAGTGGTGTCATATATCTAAAGTAGGACTAGGGTTGGGTACAGCTACAAGTGAAGAGATCAATACACTGCTTTAGTCTATGAAATGATTAGTTATCATTTGGACAAAAAATCACGAAATCAAAAGAAAAGTTCTAGTTTCACTTTGAAGCCAGACGCGCGTGCAATGTCACTCAACGAACCCATTGAAGTATATACACTTCAACTTCGATTCCATCTGCATATTTGTTGGACAGTGAATTCTTGATCACTGGTTAGCTGCTTGCCACAGCTTCTTATTGCTTACGTTTTCCGACTGACCATGTGATCTTCAGTATCGAGCGAAGACAATCGCCAATGAAAATCTCTGGTGGAGTTCCATGACGCGTCACGTCTCCGAACTATATAGAAGTAGTTGTTCGTTGTGCTGAGTGATGTACATATTCACACTGATTCCAGAGAGAGAGATGAACGCGTGCCTTGCTTTTCTGATCTTGGTATCCCGCTTTATCATCCGTGCCGACTTTGTGTAGTTGAAACGATGTTGCCGAAGTGAGTGAAAGCGACGACTTCCTTTATATTCCTTCCCATTGATGGTGATTGGTGTTTGTTGTCGACAGAGTACCTGTAACACTACAGTCTTCTCCTATAATCACCTGAAGCCTCTTCTGTCAACTCCATCGGCTTTCTCTTGCATATCTTCGAGTTTGTGAGACATGACAGGCAAATTCCAGATCTTTTAGAGTCATTCTCTGAGTTCCGCCCCCACCCGCGCCAAATCTATCGTAGGGAGCCAGATATGTCGACCGCACCCAGCGTTCGCTTTCCAAACGTATCACCGAACACTTACCAGCATCGTTTTACAAAGGGGAAAAACGATGCCCCCGCAGCTCTATCTTAGAACATCTGACAGATTCTGGACACCAAGCTTCACCCCAAACAAACTTCAAAGTCGTCTACAGAATACGAAGCAGTCCTCCTAAAAGTGTGCGAATCAGACTTTTTCAAACTGAAGAAGCAATGGCAGTTCACTTGCTATGTCCTGAACTCTGCATACAGAAGAAGTTCGTTCAATCACTACACTTGCAACGGGCGTAATCTACCCTAATACCCAACAGGTGAATTCTACTTCTCTTCTGTCTCTTCATTAGTATTATGTTGTCTTTTCAATTGTAATATTTTACATTTTCAACCTTCCTGTTCTCTACCCCCACCCGATTTAATTTCTGCACCTCATTATCACTATTACTGACTTCACAAACGTTCAATTTCTAGTCATTTATGTTACGTCATCCAACTTATTTGCTTAATTTCACTGCTACTGGTCTCTACCTGTTATGACCTCTCTTGCTACCCTGATCTAAGTTGAAACATTTTAGTCAATTATATAACGTCATCTAACCTACTAACTGAATCTTACTTCAGTTGCTGTCTGATTAACCTTGTTTCTATATTAGATCATTCTTGTATTACCTGGTCAATTATCTAAACTTGACAAACCTCATGTACACACACACAAACAAATAATTATATATAAATGCGATTGTACAGCTATGTGAATGAATTCGCCGAAAAGAGTCTCCTCGCTTAACGTCTTCTCTTTTTCATTAAAATTTTATCTAAACCTAAGTCATCTACTGGAAGATGTATTAAATTTAGACTTATTGCTATCACCTCTGCTTTTCTAAAAACTATGGAAAAGTTACTCTTACTTAATCTTCAACCTTCACTTAAAGCCTTTTACGATCCAAAACAATTCGCCTATAAACGCAGTAGAAGTACTTTAGATGCAGTTGCAGCCTTGTATCATAACATTGTCTCCAGCTTAGACAAGGGGGCTAAATTTGTTCGCTGCACCTTCCTAGATTATACATCTGCTTTCGACTCAGTACCTAGGGACATTTTGTTAAACCAGCTTGCTGAAACTCAAACTGACTGTTGGGTTGTCAAATGGCTGCATTCTTATTTCTCAGGTACACTGTATGCCAGGGAAAGTCGCCTACTTCATTGCTTACTGAAGCTGGTGTCCCTCAAGGTGCTGTTCTTTCTTCACTTCTGTTTTCTTTCTTCTTGCATGACTTGCCTCACTCTGATGAAATGAACTTTGTTAAGTATGCGGACAATCTAAATATTTCAATGTCTGTTAACTTCCAGGTAGACTGTACTAAGATGAACAGCTTTCTATAAGGAATTAGCAAATGTTCTCCGTCTAACGGCCTTAAACTTAATCCTTCCAAATGTTAGATTTTCAATTTCAGTTTCCGATGTAAAAGAAAGTTAAATAATGAAGCTGTTGTTCCCTAGGACCGTTGCAAAATTGATGGTATTGATAGAGAAATCAAGTCTGAAGTTAAGTATCTTGGATTCGTTCTCTCTTCTGACCTATCCTGGTCTCCCGATGTCTTAGCAATTTCTAAAAGAATATTTCGTCTGACTTTTTAAATTAGACGCCCATTTTCTAGTCATTCATGTTAAGTCATCCAACTTATTTGCTCAAGTTTAGTTCTAATTTAAATGGCATTATTCTCTGCCCCACCTCTACCTGTAATTACCTCTGCTGCTACCCTGACCTAAGCTGACGCATTTTAGTCAATTATATTACGTCATCTAACTTATTAACTCAATCTTACTTTAGTTACTGTCTAATTATCCTTGTTTCTATATTATATCATTCTTGTATTACCTGATTAATTATCTAAACTTGACAAACCTCATGTACACACACACAATCAAATAATTATATATAAATGCGATTGTACAGGTATGTGAATGAATACGCCGAACAGAGTCTCTTCGCTGAACGTCTTCTCTTTCCCATAAATCTATCACAGTCAGAAGGGTTAAGGAAGAAATTTGAATACGGTGTGCATATTTTTGAAAGGAAACCATTACAAAACAAATTAACTCGTTGACTAAAAGTGTAACTAACCTATTGTAAACATCGGTGGTAATTATCAAGATAATATCAAATTGATACATACCTCAAAACGTCCAGGTCTTAAAAGTGCTTCATCAATCATATCACGACGATTAGTCATACCAATGACCAGTATATTATTCAATTGTTCAACTCCATCCATTTTAGTTAAAAGTTGATTCACCACTGTATCATGCACGCCAGCACCACCAGCCTAAAGAAAAAAAAGATGAAATAATTGTGTGAATATGACGTAATAATGTGATAATATATAACATACCGAGTCCCAGTGGCTTAATGGTATACGAGCTCGCCTTCTAACCAGAAGGTCCTGGGTTCGAACCCCGATGGGTGTGCACTACAGAAGAGTCCCAAGCTAGGACGAAACAGCTTTCCAGTACTCCCAGGTTAAGCGTCCGTGGTACAGCGGTTAGGACGCTCGCCAACCATGCACATAGTCCGGGGTTCGATCCCCGGCCACTGGACGCACTCCTTTACCCTGCTAAGCCAGAAATAATGCTGGTGAAGAGGAAAGGTTGGGCATGAGGGTAGCAACCCCATCCTGTAAAAATAAACACTGCTACAGAAACTTCAAGCCTCTAGCTTGGAGCCCTATGTTCCACTGGGATCGTGAAGGAATAAAAAGTAAAAAAATATAACATACCATAAATAATAATCGAAAAAGCAAGTATAAATGCATGATGCTATATACTACTGATTAACTGAGATGAGTAGATGCATCGTACTACTTACACATCAAGCAGTGGTGCCTGCTAGCTAGACCGAAGCGATTTAAACGCTTAACGGCGTTTTTCCCTTGTTTAGGACAGTGCTCATAAGTGGTGTACGCGACTTGACATACAGCTTCGAGAGCTGAAATTATTTCGGCTAGCTACCTCTAATTAGGCACTTATTATTATTATTCCCTTGCGTTCCAAGTGGAACATAGGGCTTTAACAATACATCTCCACTTCTTCCAATCTCCTGCCGTCCTCTACAGCTGGCTGCCCCCGCGATTGCCCACAATCTCTCGTCTCCTCCTTCAACTCACACAATCTCCTCCATGTCACCCTCTAACTGACGACCCACTCATCGCTTCCTATAGGAATTCCACTCGAGGGCCTGACGTGCGATGTCATTCGACGGTCTCCCCAGTGGCGTATGCCCTCCACTTTCTCCTACATATTTGTTGAGCAATAGGCTCTCACCTGTTGGTTTCTTCCATTGAAGAGTTTCTTGTTGCTTATTCTTTCTGACTGGCCATTTGATCTTCAGTATGGAGCAAGCCAGCGAAGGCAGATGTTGATGAAAGTCTTAAACCTGTTAGAAATCCTTTTCTCACCCGTATAGAAGAACCAACTTCACATTGGTGTTCAAAATGCGAATCTTGTTCCTTATGCTGAGTGCGGAAGATTTCAAAACTGGTTTCAGGTTGTTGAAGGCGTATCTTGCATTTCCGATTCTGCCTGGCTGGCTTTGACATCTTCATTCTTTCCGCCTGCAGTTGAAACGATGCTTCCTAGCTGGATAAGTGAAGAAGGTAACTTCTGTTAAGTCTCCCCCTTTGATGGTGATTGGTGCTGTTTGTTATTGCTGCTGATCTTTATCACCTCCGTCTTCTCTGTGTCTACCTGCAGTTCTGTTTCCCCTGTCTCTTCAACCAGTCTGTTGGTTTTTGCTTGCACTTAGGAACTACCAGTATCGAAATGCTTATGTCAGTCGATTAGTAATACATAGCATGAAGTAATTATGCTAATTAAAAACTGCAAGGTAAATATTCGATAAACTGACCCATATGAAGCTTTACACATATTCAAGATTATAGACGCAGATCCTCCTCCTCTCTTAGTGAACTTTCCAACTTTTAACAAATAAACAAGTGACAGAAAGGAATAAGGTATCAAAAAAAGTAGAAACACAGCCGATGTACGCCTAGTCGATTGTAAGCCCAAATAGAGGAGAGGTTTGCAATGGGGCTAACAATGCTGGCCCCTAAAAAACAACATACACCTCTGCCAAAACTTCAAAAACTTGAAGCGCGTCAAGTAAACTGTCTCTCCAAGAGCAGTAAGAAGATGAGTGATACAACCAACCGACATATTTGATGAACAACTGACATCTGATTGGCGAAAGTGTGCTGTACTCCTGCAACTTGCAGATGTGTAGAGTCAATTAGTCTACACCGTATAGCTGATTAACAGACACTAATCAAAACCGTTTAGCCTGTACAACTACTACAATAAACTGACACATTTAATATTTACCACTTTACTACAAATTAGTTCTCTTTATGAATTTCCATAAAACAATCAGAACATATAACTTATCGGAAACGCGTAATGAAAGGTATTTGAGCAACACATTCCGAACATTCTCATCACACACGTACTGGTTACATCATAAAAGGTAACAGAGTATATATGGTCATACGTGCATAGGGAGGATCCATTGATCTCTTCAGGTGAGGGCTACAAAACATATTCTTAAGTATTTAATTCAATGCAGGCACATCCAGCTGGCGAGTCCCAAAAAGGACGAAATGCGCATCCTGGATTCCACTGCTAGTCACCATCCACCAATTAAATTCCTAAGTAGCTGCGAAAACCGCTTAATTCGTTTAATCCTGGAGAGCACACGATAGAGAAGTTGTAAAACTGATTAGAATAGTAGTGCCCTTAAATCCGTCCATATATGAAACAGTCAGGTTTGGGGGCGCATACTTAAATTCTTTGAAGCCTTAACTATAAAAAGACTTAAACCTGTTTAATTTATTCAGAAATTACTTGTTATCACTTTGAACCTGCTTTGAGAAAAATAATAATCTCAACCCCTCCCTTTTTTCCTTACCTCATTTTCCTACCCCTTATCTGTTATATCTTGATCTGTAAACATTTTGACCTATATATTGATAAAAATTTTGATCCTTTTCACTCTGTTACCTTTCATGATTTCTACTTTCCTCCTGTTTAGATTGTAGTAAAAGTTTAGTTAGAGATTAGCAACGTAGCTGAGAAGCACAATTATTGTTTGGCAAATCTCTCTTGAAAGATCTAATCACAATATTGATACCTATTTGAATGTTTTAACTAACTTTTTAATTATTGCAAAAGTTCTATTTGTATTTCCCAATGAATAATAATAATAATAATAATTTGCTTTATTCCAAAACAGTACTTGTGATACAGAATGGAATTCTCAGCATTTTTACTACAGTATGGCATCCAGTTAGTACATTATCAATAAATAGAATTCTACATAGATTGAGGAAACCAACAGTTCATTATTACAACAATACATTGGCATGTCAGCAGCAAAGGTAAAGCTGAAACAGTGTTTGAAGGTGTTAGAAAAGTGGGAGCTGTCTTATTAACAGGCGTAAGCGAGAGGAAGAGACAAAGCAGCACATAACGGAAAAAGAAGAGAGAGAAAAGGAAAAGAAAGAAAGAAAATGTTGTACCTATTGATCATGTGGGTTGGAAAGACGAGATCCAGTTGTACTACTGACTATTTAAAGAATTATAGGTGTCACGCCTAATGCTTTCTTTATCACACAGAACACGAGCTAAGTAGGGTATGGTTGAGTTTTTGTACTTGCTGGTGCGAGCATATAGTTTTCTATATTGGCTTCTGGTTTTACCTGATGAGATGCAGGGGGAGAGTTGTGAGTGAAGAGGGTGGTGTGAGTTAGATAAAATGGATTTGACCCATTTTTCACATGAGTCCATGAAAAAGAGCAAAACGATATTGTTGTTTTTACTGACGTTTCGCTAGTTAATGCTGCTGCTAATATCTTCATCAAACTATTATTTGAACTAGAATTTACAAGATCTCAGCTTATATATTGCAAACTTAATCGTCATTCACCAGCATGGGGTCATTTTTGCGTTGTCAGGTTGCCTAATTAGTGAAGATCCCAAAATTAAGTGTAGACTGTTGGATTTCATAAGCCTATAAAATTATACAAAAGTAGTATGTGTCTACAGAATGAAACTGCCTATCACACATCCGTGCTCATTCTGTCATTGTTGATTTTGCCAGTTTACGACGTCTCTGGTTTAGTAGACGTGATATCTGGTTGGCTGGCTGTCGAACAAAGGGTGCGTATACTGCTCAGAAGTTCGCTCCTTCCTCCTTTATGGCTAACTGTGAGCGAGACATGGCCATTGAAAGTGGAAGACATGAAACACCTGGCTAGCTAGCTGTCTTTGATCATAGGTATCTGAGTTCTATCTCCCGTGTTAGGTTGTAGTAGGGTGAGTAATGTTGACTTGCTTAGGCGTCGGTCGAGTTCTAGATAGGTGGGAGGAGAAATCAATCGACGAGTTGGTTGTGAAGCAGTTACACCTATTGAGAGAGATGGTTAGGACATGCGTAACTCACGCATGTCTAACCATCGATCGCCTTCCTCGACCGACGAACGGGCAATGTTAGCTGACTGACACAGGATTCATCAGGTTGGAAAAGAGTCAGCTAGTGGTGGTGGTGGTCAAACCAAAACATGGCTTCATCAGTCAATGAAGTCCACAACAGTTAGTTTAAGCCAGCCAGCCACGTAGGGATGTGTAGACTGCCACGCTGGTTAGGGTCCTCGAGATGGTAAAAACCAATGGCGGCGGCTGGAGACAATTGGTGATATGGCTCAAAGTGATCGTTCTCAGTGATGGCTGGCACAGATGCATTCACTCTTTGTTATTTATAATGCACAATAAAATTCAATTGTTCTTCCATATTACTGTTCTTTTTGCCTCATATTTCTGTTTATCATCTCTTTCTTTTGAATCTCTATTTACTCTCTTCTCTTGCTATGTGTGTTACATGGAGGGAGAATGGTAACCCGATCTGGTGCGCACATCTGTGCAAAGTTCTACGTTGAAACCAGTCAGTCAGCCAGCCAGACAGTCAGTCATTGTTTTCAATACACTGGGAAATAGGAAAGTTTTATGTCTGATAGTAAAGCTACGTCGTCAGTGGTTCAGTGATAGAATTTTCAGCAGTCACGCATGTGACCCAGGACAAATTCCTGGCCGACTCACTCCATTTACTAACCGAAAGTACAATATGAGGGGGGTTGTTGTAATCAGATCAAATTCTGTTTAACCCCATCATTCCTATTCAGACAATTTGGATTCCATTTGATATGAAGTGCCTCTGATGCTATTAGACGTTCTTTGTGACTTCTGGAATTTTTCTGAATTATTTCAATATTGTCAAAATCAATTTTGTGACCTGATTCTATAGCTTGTAGACCTACGGCTGATGATTTTTCAAGCCTTTCTAGTTCAACTAGATTTCTCAGTGGTCGAACAGATATTCTGCTCTACGGTGTTCATTTCCTCTGATTTTTATCTCTCGCGATGTTTATCCAATGTATACAGCCTCACATTCCATAGTACTTTCATAATACTTTGATAAAGCTATTATCAGTATTAAATAGCGAAACGTCAGTAAGATCAACATCGTTTTACTCTTTTTCATTCATTCATTGGGAAATACAAAAACTTTTTATAATAATGAATATCATAGACACAATGCCCTAATTTTTTTCAAAAAGTGAGCATGGTTTGAACATATCTAAAACTTTCACTCCTATACTGTATATCACTGTTTCTGACGTTCGCATATCACCGTTTGTTGACTTAATCCCTATCATTCATCTTTGTCACTGTTTAAATCCCTAATTTTTTTTTAATGCTACTCTTTGCGGTTGTCTGATGGTATTGACAATAATGCATTGTATTACGATTGTGATTTAGTTATACATGAATTCAAGGTTCGCTGTGTGGGTGTTGACCTTTCATTGTCTGCAGAAATTGCTTGGTGTTTATCTGTGTGCTTGATTCTTGCCGTTGAGAAAGTTTTGATTCCATCTTGTTGGGAATATTTTCTCTCCTTGACTCTCAGATACTTCTTGCGGTTGAATTTTTGCCAACTAATTTTGTTCTGTAGTACCCGTGTTGTACTGGGAAATTATCTGATCTGTATAGCTGCCTAACGGTACTGTTGTAGAAATTTCGAGTTTTTGATGTTATTATTATGACAGGATTTCATCATGAACTGACATCGGTTAGAGAATCGTTGGAAAACCTGCGGGGGAGTACTGGACAGTTGTTTCGTCGGCCTAGTTTGAGACTCTTCATAAGTATGCACTCACCGGTGTCAGTTCATGATGAAATCCTGTAACAAATCAATCAAATCCTCAGAAACCAATACTTGAATATCAATGAGATGCTCACTAGTGACTGGCTCTGTTCTAGTGGTAAGCAGTGATCAGTGCGGTACAGCAGGTCGGGTGTGAGGACAAATACTCACCGATGACATCAGCTAGTGGTCGCGCAATGTCATGAATTGGCAGAAGTTGGAATTCATGGGCTAGCCATTGGGTCGTTGTTAACTCGGAAGGAGAGACGGAGCTTAACCGTAAGGGGCTAGCATTCGTACCCAAAGAAACAAAACAACAACACCTACGGAAACTTCAAAGTTAGAAGCTCTCTGATTCACTCCGAAAACAAAGCAATCAATATCAACATCCTATTGTGCCGATCGAATTGCAACTCTACGCGTCGTCATCACAGAACTTCACCGACTTCAAAAAGGCGTTCGACACACAGTGTTGACCGAGAAGTAATTTGGAAACTACTTCGAGACTACGGCGTGCAGTGACGCAAATCTTTATCAACCTCATTCAACAGATGGCTACATGACAGTGCCCCATGTCAAGTGATCCACAACGGAAAACTTAGATATGCTTTCGAAGTGAATGCAGGAGTGAGCCAAGGCTGACTGCCTATAATCACCTCTGGTGTTCCTAATTGTGGTGGACTTGATTATGTGTCAGACAGGAAGCGAGGAGACAGGAATACGCTTGACCGATAGGGACTCTAGAAGATCTGGATTTCGCGTGTGGATGAACTCGAAGACTTACAGGTGGAAACCAACAAACTGACTGAAGAAGCAGAGACGACAGGACTTCAGGTGAACATAGAGAAGACGGAGGTGATGAAGATGACCAACAACAACAACAACCAGCACCAACCACCATCAACGGGAGAGATTTGAAAGAGATGACTTCCTTCACTTATCTGGCCAGGAGGCACGATGTCAAACACAGGCACACGGCATGGATGATGTCAAAGCCAGCCAACCGGAATCGGAAATGCAACATACGCATTCATCAACTTGAAACCAGTTTTGAAATCTTCAGCTTCACACACTCAGCCAGCATAAACAACAAGATTCGGATTGTGTTCAACACCAATGTGAAGTCAGCCAGTCACTTCTGCTATACGGATCAGAAACTTGGCCAGTGTATCACGAAGAGGATTTCCGAAAGCCTGTTACAGACTTTTATCAACAGCTGTCTACTTCACTGGCTGGCTCCATACTGAAGATCAAATGGCCGGCCAGCTGGCCAGAAAGAATTAGCAGCAAGTAACTCCGGCTGGGAACAAACCAACAGGTAAGAGCCAATTTCTCAACAAATATGCAGGAGAAAATGCAGATGGATTGATCGGGCATACGTTGAGGAGACCGTCGAATGACATCACGGTCAATGCAGGCCAACGCTCAAGTGGAATCCCAGTGCGAAGCGACGAGTGTGTCGTAAGTTCCAGGGTAACATGGAGGAGACTGTGTGGCGATGAGGAGATGAGGGACTATGGGCAGTGGTGGACCCAGATGAAGAGGGTAGCAGAAAATAGAACAAAGTGTAGATGCGTTGTTGAAGTCCTGTGTTCCTCTCGGAACCCAAGGAATAATAATAATAACAACAATAACAGTAATAATTGTACAGAAGGCATGAAAAAAAACACACACCACTCACTGTAGATCCACGTGATTTACAAATTGCATCAATTTCATCAAATATAATAATATGCAAAGCAGAATGTGCACCCATACGTTTTTCTTCTTCTTCAGCATCAGCGAATAACTTGCGAATATTCGCCTCAGATTCACCGACATACTTATCTAATATACTTGGACCATTGACAATTTTTGGTTCACGTGCATTCAGCATTTTACCAATTTGTCGTGCCATTAATGTTTTCCCGGTACCAGGTGGACCGTACAAAAGGATACCACGAACATGTTTTAAGCCTGAATTGATAGGGCAGAATTTTTTTTAAAAAAACCACGTAAAATCTCATACATATATATAATGGTAGATTACTTAATTGCAGAAGAATCATCGGGAACCAAGAAACCCTGAATAGCCCCGCTCCTTCCCTAAGTAGATTGAAGTGACAACCATAAGATGTCAGGACATTCAAATTGCTAACGATCACTAAATTGAAATTCATCTGCTAACGACATCTATCCTGTGTCAAATGATTGATTATTACACATAACGCTGTCATCATCTGAAGTCATAGATAAGTATCCATCGACAAACGTATACGCCAAAGAGTTGTCTACTAGACTAATTGGGCAACGAGAGCCGCCTCTTTTGCAACAAGCATCAGTGATGATTTGTTTAGATCAATTTTGATTTGTCCGCGTTACTAGGAGCCAACATGTTAACGGAGACTGAACACACTCCAGTCCAGTCAATTAACTGGGAAAGTCAAAAGTGACTTAAACAAATAAATTTTAAGGCTACCGGTAAAAATTATATATGTCCAAACCAAGTTCACTTCTAACGGTTTGAAATAATTTGGGCATTGGGTATATGATATTCATTATAATGAAGGTTTGTGTATTTCCCAATGAATGAAAAACAAAACGATATTGTTTTTTTTACTGACGTTTCGCTATTTAATGCTAATTGCTTTATCAAAGTATTATTAAACCGGAATTTACAAAATCTCAGCATATATATAACAAACAGTTAGGGGGTGAGAAAATAGACTTAGGTCAAGTTAAAGGGACATATTGAAAGTAAAAATAGCAATGAAGATAACTAAACCAAATAACAAAGGTAATAGTATGTCTGTTATGGTATCAAAATAAAGTTTACTAACTTGATCATCGTTCGTCTGTCTGGGGGCATTTTTAGTTGTCAAGTTGGTCAATTGGTAAAGATAACAAAATCAAGTGTGGATTGTTGGATTTGATCGGTGTTAGTAAACTTTGTTTTGATATCATAACAGACATACTATTACCTTTGTTATTTGGTTTAGTTATCTTCATTGCTATTTTTACTTTCAATATGTCCCTTTAACTTGACCTATGTCTATTTTCTCACCCCCTAACTGTTTGTTATATATATGCTGAGATTTTGTAAATTCCGGTTTAATAATACTTTGATAAAGCAATTAGCATTAAATAGCGAAACGTCAGTAAAAAAAACAATATCGTTTTGTTTTTCATTCATTGGGAAATACAAAAAACCTTATAATGAATACCGGTAAAAATATTTCACCTAACTACGACTAAATAAAAGTTCAACATGATGGCAAGTTCTCCAGTCTGATGACCAATATTGAATAGTATTCTTAACAAAGTGTACAGTTTATAACTGCGAATGCTCTAACTATAGCTTCTTTGCCAAAATGTCTGGATTATCAATATTATAGGCTCATGTCAAGAAAACTGTAGACAGTAATTTGGCGATCAATACTTTTAGACTTTAAGAAATGCCATAGAAGAATGAATAATAAGACTATTAGTATTAGTGTGGTGAGAGCTGTCTACAAGCTAAAATTATAGACAACACTTTTTACATCAATGTTTACGCCCCGAATAGGGGTCATGAGAAAAAACAATAACAGAGCTTAACCTTGAGGAACTCACCAACCAGTCGCAGCAGACTTAATGTGTACAAATACGATTCGCAGATATATGGCTTAACCTTCTAAGAAACGGTCACAAGCAGTACAGAATAACCTTCAGCAAAACAACAACCAATCAGAAAGCGTTGCTTCTCTCCTAACAATAACACCAATAATAATGTACATAAAAATCTATAAATATCTCTTGATTTTTTCAAAAAACGACCTGTTCCCTTGCCCTTATCTTCTGTCACTGCATTAGTAATCCCTTAGCTTCCGAGTGGAACATAAAGTTTCGACAGCAAATCACCATTTCATCCTGTTCTTTGTGGTTCTGTTTAGTCAGCTGGCTCTACGATTGCATTTAAGCATTCACCTCCTCCTCCTCATATGACTTCCTCCATTTCACCCTCAGACACTCAACTAGTCGTTTACCATTCGGGTTCCACTAAATGGCCTGAGTTAGCAAGTGATGCCACTCAACAGTTACCACAGCATGTGCCCGATCTATCTCCTGCAGCTTTGTCAAGTGATAGGTTGTTAGTTGGTTCGTTCCCAGAGTTCCTTGTCACTAATTGCCTCCAAAGCCTCAGGATGGTCGGGGGTGGGTGCCTTGCGCTGCGGGTTGGCCATCCCTCCACACACCTCTTGAAATGCTCCCATATGACCAGGCGTCTTACATAGCCTCTCCTGAGGAGGTCCTACTCACTGCCTTCACGTGGCGGAGGTGTTTTTCACCAAAGTGAGAGGGCGAAAGCGGATACCCGGCACTCTTCACAGGGTTGACTGTCCATTGGATGACAGTCTAGGGGAGATGGCTAAACCCTGATTCCAAACCTCCAACGACTGGCGTATGAAGCTCACTGGAGCTCACCGGGAGACGTATGGACAAAGGGCTTGTTGGATGTCCTGGATGTCTGGCCCCATTCAAAAAGGCGTATGAACCGAACTCCGGTCACCGGCTGCCAATGGATAGTGGACTCCCTACTCCACTCCTACTGCCTTGTAGGTCACACTTGGTTGTGTAAAGGCTAGAGCTGCACTATCAAACAAAAGGCCGAGCGATTATGGGGACATCACTCGTACCAAATTCCCATGAAACTTCGTAAACTCTCTTACAAACGACTCTCACCATGGCCTGGGCAGCGATGATTCGAGATGTTCATGAAGCCGGTTCATCCTCCCGTAGGAGATAGCCGAAGTAAAGTAAGTAAGCTGTTACTAATTCCTTCTGACTATCTGAGCTTCGAAATAGAGCGAAGTGAGCAGCTGTTGAAATGCTGTCGGAAATGCTTTTGGCGACACATGAGACTAGTCTCTGAACCACAAGAAGAACTGACTGACTTGACATTAGTGTTGAAAATCCAAATCGCGTTCCGTATATTGATTGCAGCAGATATGAGCACTCATTTCAGTCTGTCTCTCTTGCTTTTTCAATCCTCGCTGGTTTTAACATCATTCGTGCTGCACACATGTATTCGAAACAGTACTGCCTGAACAAGTGAAAGAGGTGATCGCATTCACATTTCTTCCGAGGATAATGATTGATGCCTTTTGTTGTTGGCTGGTTATTTTCATCACCTACGTCTTCTATAAGTTCACTGCAAACTTGTTGGGTTTATGCTCTGCTCGATAGTCGCTGACATGGATAGCCTCACCCACATTAAATTTTCCCTCACTTTGAATTGATGAGTCGCCACGTCTGGGTGCCGATGGTAGCATGAAGCTGTGAATTGTCTTTAGTTTACGTCCGTGAAGAATATCTGCTGGCGATTGTTTGTTTGGTGTTGACTTGTGCGCCATTGTGCGATAGACCATCAAAAATTTTTGGACGTTGGCAAATGGTGTCCCTCTCTTTAAAGTGTCGACAAAACATTCTGTTTAACCGTTTGATTGGGGATGATATGGAGGTGAGAACAAGCGCTTGATAGCATTTTGACTACAGTACAGCTGCAATTGGTGAGACGTAAACTGTGAACCGTTGTCTGTCACTATTATTTCTGGCAAACCATCATGGGAGAATATGTCAGTCAGAGCTTTGAGAGTCTGCAGCGTTGTCAGTGGAACGATTGGCATAACTTCTGGCCATTTTGAGGAAGCATCTACCATCACTAAATAAGATACACCATTTATAGGACTGGCAAAATCAATATGAATTCGGGACCAAGGGTGGTCTGCTGGTAGCCACGGTAGGGGAGGCAGTTGGTCAGGTAGTTTTGCTGTTTGCTGACATTCTGAATATCACTGAACAAAATCGATAATATGCTTATCCATATTAGACCAGTAGGCGAAACTTCAAGCAATAGACTTTATGCGCTGAACACCAGGATGTCCCATGTGAAACTGTTTTAGGATTTTATTTCGTAGTGCCCCTGATATCACTACACGCTCTCCAAACACTAAGGAATCCTTTTACAACAGATAACAAGTCACGACGGGCAAACAACTGTTTCAATTTTCTCCTATATTGAATCTCTGATCAATTACTGGATAAGGTTGCATCAATGCCTGTAGCTCGCTGGATTTCTGCAAAAGTTACTGGTAGAGACGGGACAGTATTTTCTATGGGGTGAACCGCATAATCTTTGGTGCCAATCACTGCATTACCATGTCTTCATTTGATGTAGGATAGTCGCTAATTAACCGAGACAGAGCATCGGCTTGACCGAATTCGCTAGTTCGATTGTATTTAATATCAAAATCGTATCTAAGTAATATTATTTCCCAAGGCGTTGTAGTCAATTAGCTGCAAGTACAGGGATACCGGATTTAGATCCGAAAATAAAAAGTAATGATTTATGATCTGTCAGCAAAGTGAATCGACGGCCGTAGATCATTTCATGGAAACGTCGAACAGCGAAGACTAAAGCTAAGGCTTCTTTTCCGATTTGTCCATATTTCTTCTCTGCAGAAGTTAGTGTTCGAGATGCTTGCATTATTGCTTTTTGTGAACCATCTGGAAAGACAAGTAAAATGACAACTCTCACTCCGCTTGCAGAAGCTTCTGCTGCAACTATAATTGGAAGTGTTGGATTATAATGTGTCCAAAGTAACTTAGACGTTAACATAGACTTTAACTTTTGAAAAGCTGATCTGCAAGCTTTGGACCATTTCCAGGTTGCATTCTTTTCTAGTAGTCGATTGAGTGGATGTCGAAAATTACATTATGCAGCGCAGGGAGAAACGCAGAGCAGTAGCTAATTAATCCCAATAAGGAGAGCAAAGAACGCACATCATTAGGTGCAGGCATCTCTTTTATAGCACGCATACTGTCAGGATCTGGACGTCTACCCGATGCATCAAATATAAATCTAAGGTATTTAACAGATCTCAAGGAGAACTGACCCTCCTCTGAACGCAGTCGTAATCCATTATCCTGCATACGTAACAAGACAGCTTCTGTTCTGCTGTAAAGTTCGTCTGCAGAACTCGCTATCACCAAGACATCGTCAAGATAGACGGCGACACCCGGAATACCAGCCGAGATGGTATCCATCAAGCTGTTGGAAAGTAGCCGGAGCAGTTTTAACTCCGAAAGATAATCCGTTGTATTGAAACAGACAGCGATGTGTATTAATAGTAAGGAGTTATCGGCATGCTGGAGCTACTTCAACTTGCAGATATGCGTCGGCAAGATCCAGTTTTGCAAAATAAGAGCCACCATTTAAAACAGTGAATAAATCATCCCCGTCAGGCAGAGGATAGTGGTGCTGTTCTAGTGCAGCATTCAACCCAGTAGGAAAATCAGCACAAATACGTAGGGACCCATTTACCTGCTTGACAACCACGATGGGTGCTGCCCATTCCGAGCATGTGACTGATGCTAATACACCCTATTGTTGTAAACTTTCCAATTCTTTGTCAATTCTTGCTTTGGATGCATATGGGACTGGCCTCTTTGGGCGAAAAACCGGTTTGGCATCTGGAGCAACACTCGAAAGATAAGATAGCTTGCACTAAGGTACAAATAGTTTGCAATTTCCCCGGATGATACATGTTACAACTACTTGCTAGGCACATATTTAAAAAATTCTAAAGTTATGTTTAATACTATCGAATCATGTTTTGAGACCAACAACTCACATGTGACAGACAATCAATGAATGCAATACAAACACAAACACATACACACACATACCAAGTTGTTTTCCAACAGCTGGTGGAAACATTCTTGAAGCAAAAGTCCTTCGGAATATAGCTGAGAATTCTTTATCCAATCCACCGATACCCATTTGATTAAAATCCCAGTTAGGATTGATGATGCTCTGGTAACCACCGCCACCACCAAGAGCACTGGCCCCATCACCATCCAGTGCAGCTTTACCAATTAGCAGTAACTTTGAATCTGGTTGACGCTCCCATCGTATCACTGTATTCCCAGTCAGCATGCCTATCTGTTAAAAGGCAAGCAGTAAGCAACAAAAAAAACACATCCGATTATTAATCAGTTTAAAATTTTTAAAAATAAAGGATGCATGTTTAAGTTAATGCATGATGAAGTTTTACAAATTCAGGTTGACATGCAGAATTTTGTTATCACCATAAGTCAGGCAATGAAGTGTTACGCATGCCAAGCCACTGGCATCCTCGGTCCAGCAGTGTAAATTGACATAGGATTAGGTTGAAGAAGTGGGCAAACCAAGACTTAGCCATCGCCATCTATGAAATCTTTAACTATTAGTTTGAGCTAGTCACATAGGGAAATATCGACTGCCTGATTGTATGGGATCTTCGGGGTGTGAAGAACCAATAGCTTTAGACGAGCCTGTTGGTGATACAGTTCAGAATGGCGCAGATACGTCCACTTGTTGTAATCTCCCAGACCCATTTCGTCCTCATGCTGTTGTATTTTTTTTCAAGTTACTATTCTAGCCAAGTTAAACTTTAAGCACCATCAACTACCAATGGAGTCCGACAGCACCAATGACCTTGAAACGCCCATTGAGCAAATTAGTGAAACCTGGCAAATAATGTTGTCATCATCAGTAAAATATGCTCATCGAAGTTTTACGCTATTAAATGGGATATCTGGTAAGTTTCAGCTTAGGTTTAAGAAAGATTAAGTTACGCTTTAAGCCAAGGACAAGTTAGGGTTAGGGGTTAACCTAATAAAGGCGACATTAGGGTTGGTTCGAGTTAGATTACAGTTAGTTTAACTCTGCCACTATTCTTTCTCCCGTACCTCTACCTTTCTGCTCTTTATACCTATTTTGCATGTGTTCCTTCTCTCTTTTCCCTACCTTTTTGTGCTACATGGGGTATGACAACTTGAAACCCAGTCAGTCAATGAACGCGAAACTTTTGACATCCTAAGCCAGTAAATCAAAGTTTGTAAGATGAATTATTGTTGAACCTCAGGCAGATATGTCTTTATTTTAACTAATTCACGGAAAATTTTCAACCAGGAGGCAAACTTTACAGGACAATAGTCAGATGTGTTTTAAGCATACACATAACGTCTACCTCCGTCTGATTGACTGACTATTTCAACGTGAAAATTTGTACAAAAGTGCACAAAGTTCAAGTTACCGTTTGAGCCATTTAGAAACATTTTGAGCCATATCGTCAATAGTTTCAAGACACTGGGTTCTTTAGAATCTCGAGGACCCCCCCCCCAACAAGGCAGTCTATGTACCTCCCTACATGGCTAGCTCAAATCAATAGTCAAAGACTTCGTGGATACATTCCAGGTTTTGATTTCGGTATCTCTGACTCTTTTCCAACATGATCCGATACCAGCGAACATTATTTGACAAGAAAGGCAATAGTTTGGTGTATGCAACACATGTTCTAGACATCACAATCGACACAGCTTCACAACTTTATCGATTAATTTAGCTTCCTTGTCTAAAACTCTACGCCTGACCTGAATATTACTCACTATATTTATACCACGAAGCACGGGAGACAGAATACAGGCATCAATAGTCAACGTGTAACAAGGAATATGACCATTTAATATAGATTGCAATATTGCTGTGCAGTAAACACACATATTGAAATTGTTCATCATAGACCGGTGGATAACTCAAAAACCAACGATAACAGATTTTTAAAAGTGACGTAGTATGGCAAACTGGATGAAGTCTAGTAGATTACGTAATAGTGTACAACATCATGCATTGTTTGAATACATTACAACAGACTCTGAATAGATAGAAAGGGTACTCAATATACACACAAACTGCTATTATCTTGTCAACAAAACCTAGAAATTCATGAATAATGAGGTAGTAGCAACGTGATGCATACAGCATTGAAAAACCCGGCGTCTACTTTATTTCAATAACAAATAATTTTCTACAGTCAAGTATTGGTTTGTAGGGATTTGGTTGATTGGTTACAGGATTTCATCATGAGCTGATATGAGGTGCAACAGGTCGGGTGTGAGGACAAATACTCGCCGAAGACATTGGCTAGCGGTTGCGCTATATCGTGAATTGGCAGAAGTTACAATTCATGGGCCATTGGACAGGGTCCCAGTGGCTTGATGGTATACGAGCTCGCCTTGTAACCAGAAGGTCTTGGGTTCGAACCCCTGTGGTGGGTGCGTGCTGGTGAAGAGTCCCAAACTAGCACGAAACAGCTGTCCAGTACTCCCAGGTTTACCAATAGTTCTCTAACCAATGTCAGCTCATGATGAAATCCTGTAACCAATTTTCTATAGTTTGGTTTGTAAGGGTTAGTCATATTTTTACTAGTTGATCATGGATTGATATCAGTTAGAGAACCATTGAAAACCAGCAGGCAGTACTGGACAGCTGTCTCATCCTAGTTTGGGAATCATCGGCAGTACGCACCCACTGGGATTCAAACCCAGGACTTTCCCAAACTAGGATGAAACAGCTGTCTGGCAGTACTCCATGGTTTTCAATGGTTCTCTAAGTGATATTAATCCGTGAACAACTCGTAAAAACATAACTAACCCTTACAAACCAAACTACAGAAAATTAATCTGATGCTCGCTAGTGACTTGCTACACAATGGAGTTTCCTGAAGTTCTAGTGAGAAGTCGTGACCAGTGACGTCCATCCAAATGTCAAGTATGAGGATGGATGTCCCACCGACCGACGACATTGGTTGGGGTCGCACTAAATCATGAACTGTTAGAAGTTAGAATTCATGAGCCATTGAATCGGGTCCCAGTGGCTGAATGGTATACGAGCTTGCTAGCCTTGTAACCGGAAGGTCCTGGGATCGAACCCCAGTGGGTGCGTACTGCCGATGATTCCCAAACTAGGATGAAACAGCTGTTTGGCAGTAGCCCATGGTTTCCAATGGTTTTCTAACTGATATCAATCCGTGATCAACTCGCAAAAATATAACAAATAAGTCAGTATGAGGCTTCAGTGCCTGGGAAGAGGGGAAAACACTATTTAGGTTGACGGTGTACATATAAACCTGGCGCTGATAAACGCAACTAGAGAAATAACGTTTCAATACTTTGATCACATCGATCCGATTGATATGAGGAACAGTAAATAAGTAGTTTAGACATTATATTGTCAACATGAGTCAAGAGCCCCCCCCCCAAACACACACACACAATGGATATGACCCACTATCGAGCTCAATGATGTCTTTGAGTGAGGACAGAGGTAAGACAAGGCTGTCTACTGCCACCCATGATACTCCTGGACTGAGAAGCGACAAGGAGCGATGAATACGTTGGATCGACAAGAAGACTGTAGAAGATCTGGACTTCATCGACGATTTATGTCTGATATCACGTAAACCCACAGACCTACAGGTGAAAACGAACAAGTTGGCAAGAGAAGCGAGCAGCGAAGACAGGACTTCAAGTGAAGAAACAGAACACAAAGTGATGACGAAGATACGTAACCAACAACACCAACAAGCACAAAACACCCTCAACAGGATAAATTTGAAAAGGACCATTTCGTTCACTTATTTAGGCAACATCATTCCACGCACTACGAAGATGTCAAAGCCAGATAAGGATTGGAGGAGCGAGACAAAGTCAGCAACAGGGAACTCTGGCAACGAACAAACCAACAAACAATCCAAAGAAAATGAAGATGAATCGGACACACGCTGAGGAGACGGTTGAATGACATCGCATACAATACAGGCGATCGAGTGAAACTCGAACGGGGAAACTACGAGTTCATAGGTGACATGGAGGAGATGAAGGCAGCTACAGACGACTGTAGAGAACAGGGTGGAACGGCGTTGTGCTGTTGAAGCCCTATATTCTCCCGAAAACCTAATGGAGTAATAATAATATCTAATATACATGTTGAAGGTCGAATGGTTGTTTCAACATAGAATCTATTTATTTATATATGTTCCTTTCCGTTCCCAGTGGAACATAAGGCTTCAAGCTTGAGCTGTGCCAGTGATGTTCATTTTTTACGGGGTGGGGTTGCCAACCTCACACGTCCAACCTTCCCTCCTAACCAGGTTTACTACGGGTTAGACAAGGTGTGGGAGTGTCTCGACTGGGGATCGAACCCTGGACCACTTGTACGAGTGGAGAGTATTCCTATCAGTGAACCAGCGACGCAAAAAGCCAGAAATTAAATCACACATCTATCTATCTATAGTACGAGAAAAGGGGGGGTGGAAGAAGCAGAAGGAGGACTTACTTTACTATTGTCCATATCACCACCATCCATGGATAAAGCTTTAATGTTTAAAATATATAAGAGATAATCAAAAAAATAAAAATAAACGTTAGTCCATAAAACAACAAAAAATACAGATATTTAAATGAACATAGTATAACAAAATGTTCCTCAAAGTGTAAGAAACAAACAAACTCAAATAGCAACGATCAAGTATACACAAAGTATATAATCCTTAATGTCAAGTATAATGCATAACATGTTGGAAAATAAGCACTTATTCGACCAATAATGGAGTATATATGTGTGTATATATGCAAACTAATACATGTACTATTAAGTTAACAGATAATACAGTATATAAGAGAGGTTGATCAGTAGTCACTGGAGAGATGTGACTGGAAGCGTTAATCAACTTTTGCAAAGAATGCTACAGTGATGAGTGAACTAAACGATTTAGTCATGCATAGTGGAGTAAATTGCGTCAGTGGCATAGCGGTTAAGACGCTCGCCGACCATACACATGGTCCGGGGTTCGATCCCCGGCCACAGACACACTGCTTTACCTCGCTAAGCCAGAAATAATGCTGGTGAAGAGGAAAGGTTGGACATGAGGCTAGCAACCCCAACCTGTAAAATAAACACCGCTACAGAAACTTCAAGTCACTAGCTTGAAGCCCTATGTTCCACTGGGGAACGTGAAGGAAAAAAAAATAGTGGAGTAGATCAATTTAAATCGTTGGTGGACATGCAGGTCTACCAAGGTGAGCTGGAAAAACCTTGATTATAAGCCTATTGTGGTGTACGTGGACTCCATAATCCGACTGACTAACTGACTGGTTCTCAGCGTAGAACTTTGCACAGATGTGCGCACCAGTTCGAGTTGTCACACTACCTCCATGTAGCACACAAAGCAAGAGAAGAGAGTAAATAAAGATTCAAAAGAAAGAGATGATAAACAGAAATATGGGGCAAAAAGAATAGTAATATGTAGGAATAATAGAATTTTGTTGTACAGTATAAATGACAAAGATTGAATGCATCCGCGCCAGCCATTGAGAACGATCACTTTGAGCCATGCCACCAACTGTCTCCAGCCCTCATTGGTTTTTACCATCTCAAGGAACCCAACCAGTCAGTTAGGAAGTGTACGCCTCTCAACGTGGCTGGCTTAAACTGACTGTTGCGGATTTCATTGACTGATGTAGCCATGTTTTTGTCTGACCACCACTAGCTAACTCTTTTCAAACCTCATCCATCCTATATCAGTCAGCTAACATTGCCTGTCAGTCGAGGAAGGCGATCGATGACTAGACAGCATGCGTAACACATGTCAGAACCATCACTCTCAATCGGTGTAACTGCTTCACAACCAAGGTCGTCGATTGATTTCCCCTCCCACCTACCTACCTAGCACTCGACCGACGCCTAACCAACTCAATATTGCCCACCCTACTACAACCTAACACTGGAGATAGAACGCAAATACCTATGATCAAAGAGAGCTAGCTAGCCAGGTGTTTCATGTCTTCCACTTTCATTGGCCATGTCTCGCTCACAGCCAGTCATAAAGGAGGACGGAGCGAACTGTTGAGCAGTATACGCACCCTTTGGTCGACAGACAGCCAACCGGATATCACGTCTACTAAACCAGAGATGGCATAGGTTGGTTGGCATATGCCAAACGAGCCTTTTGTATCCGTGCTGAGATTTCATCCGAATCCGTATGAAGCTGTTTTAGTCACCAGCAATCATTAGACCGTAGCTCCTGACGCTGCTCCACAGCCTTATGAATTAGACACCAAGTCAAAGGCTCGGGGAGGGGTGCAAAGTGACCCCTTAGGACAACCACCTACTTCGCGGAGGGTGTCCGAGCAGTATCACAGCTCTCATTCGCACAAACCATGAGATTTTGTAAGGCGAATCTCTTGGTGCCCATCATGTACTTCCAAGTTTGTGTTTTAACAGAATAATAAATAAATATAAGTTCAAGTTGTTACTCTTCACAAAAGTACACAAAAGCGGGGAAGATTAAGGGACAGTTTTAGAGTCTGGAATATGATAATGGGGGAGGAATACATCTGTGCGATTTTTTCAAAGCTTTTACCTCATAGCACCCGACAACATTAGTGAGACAATCTATACTCACCGATGTGACTTTGGCTGAAATCAACACTCAAAGACGTCATTAATTAGAGCTACATTCTAGTCTGATCACCATTAACTCGTTTACAAACTAACCCTACTTCAACTGCCAGGGTTTGGACAAGGAAGTCAATAGTTCCGCATGCGTAACACATACTCTAGCTAGCTAAATCAATAAAGTTTTACAACATCTCTTTACCTAACACTCTAAGTGTTACCTCATAAATATATTTGTCACCTTGTTCAAACTAATGTGAGCAACTATAAAAAAAGACACCTGTGATCGAAAATCTCTAATGTTTTCATTTTTACCATTACAGCCAGGTTTCAAGCCGCTTCAATAAGGATAGAGTGAACTTTTGAACAGTACACGCTCCTGTCTAAAAGATGACGCAACTTGGTCTAAGTCTAACGAACCTTTACTCCCCAGCCTAGAACTAGGAGACAGTGGAGACCAGTTATGCAGTATCGCATAATAAACATACTAAGATTATTGCTCAAGGTGTTCCTAAGACTCTTCATTTTTTCGGCGCCCTCACATAAGAGAATTGCACTTACTATACTCTACATTGACGAGGCGCTTCCCTGGTAATCCCTGAGACTCTGAAGTCACGCCCACGCTTACTTCCATCAACTAGTAGACTTAAAACGGAATTTAATGAGAATGGTAGCAGCAGGCATCTCTCCCGCAGATGGAATACTACAGATTTGTCAGTCGAACCAATTAATAATTAGTGAAAAAGGAGTGACTGCATACTAATATCAAAGATCCATGTAATCCTGTTATTTTTAAACTGAAAGGACAATAAGCAATTGTGAAGTAGAAAGAACTGTATCATAAACACATAGAATATGGGATAATTCTGCAACATTATTGAATTGCTGCACCTACATTACGGGTTTGGTCACGAGCTGACATCAGTCATAAAAAGGACTGGAAAGCCATGAAATAGTGGACAGTCATTTCGTCCCAGCTTGGGACTCTTCATCAGTATGCACCTATCAGAGGTCAAACCCAGGACTTTTCTGCTACAAGATGACCTCGTAGATAACTCAGCCACTAGAACCCGATCCAATGGCTTATGAATGCCAACGTACATCAAAGTGCTAGACTGTTTATGTAAACTCTTTAGGCATGCCAAGATCAATAATTTGAGGAAGAGTATAACACACAGTCATGTTGATAAAGTACTTGAAATGTGCTCATATTCATTAAAAGGTCATTTGAGTTGACTAGGCAGATGATGTTATTCACCTAGAGAGATCACACAATGAAACCAATTGTAGAAGATGTTATACATGAATGTGACGTTCAAAGGCGACCTCCTTATGGCCGACAGCCTAAAGAGAAGAATATCTAACGCCATGAAAAGAACATCCACCGCTGCTACACTGCTATTGGTATTCTCAAGCCCCACCCATCGTTCTTCAACAACTCCAAAAATAAACCATCGCACTTGACCACTTCTATGTTGTTGTTTTTATTCCTTCAAGTTCCCCAATGGAAAATAGGGCTTCAAGCTAGTGGCTTGAAGTTTATGTAGCAGTGTTTATTTTTACAGGATGGGGTTGCTAGCCTCACACCCAACCTTCCCTCTTTACCAGTTAAATTACTGGCTTCGCGAGGTAAAGGAGTGCGTCGGCCGGGGATCGAACTGCGGCCCTTGTGCATGGTCGGCGGGCGTCCTAACCGCTGTGCCACCGACTTGATCATGTAGAGCGAGATATATAGGTCATTCAATGCGTGTTTTATCTAAGAGAGTCAAAGAACATTATCCCACTTGGCTACAAAAAGGTAACAGTGGATCACTAATATATTTATTCATATATTCAATACTAGTCACTCAGTATGCAAGAAGAATTCATTCAAAGCCATCTACAAAGTCAAAAGAAACCTCCCGAAAGCGATAAGCTTCTGTATACTTTACATTGCTGAGTGAGGCTTTAGCGATGCGGATAGAAAACCCTGATTTATGTACACAGAAGAAACTTCCCCACCCCCTCCTTTTACTTTGGTTATAATCCTAAGTTCTGCTACTTTGTTAGTAATGTTTTTTTCTGAATTTTTGTATGACATCTTAGTAACATCTTTTTCTTAACCAACCCCTTATTTACTTCTTTCTACCTATTAGATAACTTATTCTGAACACGTGTCTCCATGCTCTTTCATCAACATTTTGTTCTATTTTACGCAACCGTTGTCAGTACTTACCAATCTTCACATCACATCACATTTTCGAAACATTTTGATGACGTAACCGATAACCCTAACTAATTTTTCTTTTCAAGTATTGGTTTTTTGTAGGGATTCAGTTTGATTGGTTGGAGGATTTCATCATGAGCGGACATCCGTTAGAGAAACATTGAAAAACCAGCAGGGACAACTGTTTCGTCAGCCTAGTTTGGGACTCTTCAATAGTACGCACCCACCACCAAGGTTCGAACCCAGGACCTTCTGGTTACAAGGCGAGCTAGCTCGTAGACCATTAAAGCCACCGGGACCCAATCCAATGACCAGACCATGAATTCTAACTTCTGCGAATTCATGACACAGCGCGACCACTTCGCAATGTCTTCTTCGATGAGTCACTGCCTCACCTTCAACCTGCTGCACCCTACTAGTCACGGCTTCCCAATAGAACTCCAGGTCACTGCCTGAATAGGACCAGTCGCTAGTGAGTACCAAATGAATTTTCAAGTACTGGTTTTTTGTAGGGATTTCCTGTTTGATTGGTTGGAGGATTTCATCATGACTCCCAAACTAGGACGAAACAGCTCTCCAGTACTCCTAGGTTGTCCAATGGTTCTCTAACTAATTTTTTTTGACAACCCTAATATACACACACGAAAACAAAATAATCATATGTAAGTGCGATTGTACAGCTAAGTGAATGAATTTGCCGCTGAAAAGAGACTCTTCGCTGAACTTTTTTGTTCTTATATTCTAACGAATTGTAGTCGACCACACTTAATACGAATAATATAAGCAGTTCGTTCCCCAACAGTACATTCCTATAATAAGTATCGGTAAAGATATAGCTCTGTCTAGCCTGAAACGGTCATTCTCTCAGATGAATTTAAATAATGCATTCAATAGGCAAATACTGATCGGATGATATGATTTCGTGATCTCTCTACAATCATATTGCATCTTACCCAGTTGACGATTATAATAATAAAATAGCTCACAATATAATCACAGTTATATAAAAGTAAAAGTGCATATATAGAGTATAACCAATCGTATTTTAATAGGTCAAGGATTCAAGAGTGAACAAAGGTTTAAGTCTGTTGCTTCCTGTAAACTTAGTTTGGGAATGCATATGTTTAACCCCCACAGTGATACACCACCAATCTTGATGACCTTAAATTAAAGCTACGATTGAGAATAGTTGAGGGAAATGCTTTGCAATGGGATAATGCTAGACTTCCACTCAGATTGAGTATATTTTAATTTTGAATGTAAATTAATAGCCATTTAAGGTTCTTCCCAGTGATACTGCAACATACCATTGGTCCTACCTATTATATGTTTAATTCAATTTTAAATTTTCCCGCCGTTTGATTGGATAGAAGTGCTCGATCCCAGGTTGACATGTCGGCTTTTCGTGTAGATGCTTCGACGATGTCTGAGCATGTAATTAGAAGTTAATTGGTAGGTAGCAATTAGCAGTGGAATCTAAGATGCACATTTCGTCCTATTTGTGACTCGTCAACTGGATGTACCTGCATTCCGCAGTGAGTGATGATGTTCACACCGAGGCTCGAACCCAGTGGTCTAGCGGATAACTCTTTGGCATTTGAAAGTATGGGCACTGGATTCGAGCCTCGTTTGGGAACATCATCACTCACTGCGGAATACATCCAGGTACATCCAGATGACGAGTCCCAAATGGGACGAAATGTGCATCCTAGATTCCACTGCTAGTCGCCATCTACCAATTAATTTCTATTATATATCTGTCCACACAACACTGTAGGCAAACTTGTAGATATACTGTTAAGGAAGAACAGTTCATAGAATTTCGTCTCTTAATCGTAGGCACAAGGGATTGACAATGTTTGAGAGGTAAGGAAAAGGGATGCAGCGCAGCCTAAACAAATCCCTTGAGCTTTCAATTTCACTAGTTAATCACCTTTGCATAGTAGTTTAATAAAGGACAACTTTCTTCGTTACGAAAACTACTCTTTCAAATGTAGTTTCGCTTTGTTGTGACATACAATAAAGTTTTCATGGTATCCATTAGCCAACAAAATTGAATGTATGCATCGTCTATATCAGATAAGTCCTATTCACTGCCTATACATAGCAGGTGTGTTCCTCACAAAAGTCAGAGACGAGCGCCAATGTCTGACACTTACGACAGTACTGGTGCACATGCACGCCTACATGAACCAGCTGGAAAACCATGATTCCGAAAATTATGGGGCAAAGTTCTACAATAAAGTCCCAAGGGATGCGAACGCACGAGTGACCTTGAGCCGACCAATCAGGAAAAATGAAGATTTTTGCATAAAATTTTACGTATATTTACATAAAAAGCATGAAAAAAACATTAAACAGGGTATTTTTGTCTAATATGAGAACAAAATATCTCCCAATTATGATGAGGGGTTTCAGTTTTAAATTAAACCAATTTCTATACATATATTCATGCAGATGACTGAAAATAACTTGGTTTTGAGATCCGTTGATAGCTCTGATTCTATTTTTCAGTCTTCCCCAGAAACCTTCGATTGAATTAGTATGAGTACCGGTTCTGGGGTCGACGAAGTCATCCGAATGGTTGACTCGATGATGTATATATCCCAGTTGCGATGATCGGTTATATCCTACCCATTCATCCGTGTGGATGGTGGTGCCTGGTAAGACGAGCCTCTGAATAATAGGGAGGAGTGTATCAGCACTCCTATCTGGAATAAGTTCGATAAATCCTTTTCGAATCTGGGTGTCGTAAATTCTCAGAACCCAAACACTGTTAGCTCTAGCTCGTCCGCGATTGTACTTCTTCTCTATAAGAACCATTTGATCGATATGGACGACTACACCGACTCCTCCCAACACCCGAGTAATACTATTCATTTTCCAAGAGGCTAAATCTCGACAAAACTGGAACCACTGCACAGTAGACGTCAACGTATTATTTGTTTGAGCCGCAGTTGATCGCAACCCGGACTTTAAAACCCAGTAATGGCACAGAAACAGGATATTGGTCAAAGACAGTTTCGACTTTTCAAAGAAAGTTCCTAGAAGACAATTAACCGAGTGTCACTTACCAGTGCGCACACTTATTCGCTTCCTACACTGTGTACATCTGAATACATATCCGTCAGTGACCTGGGTATATGGCTGGAGGTTCATAGAAGCACCACAACTACATATCCGAGTACGTCCTATCAATCCATTATCCAAGCAGTACTAGAAAACGTGATCTGGATGAAATTTGCATCTGAACTCATGAACAGTGTTCATTTTCGCGCTAGAATAATGGTAAGTTTCCTCAACCAACGACCGGCAAGCGTTCAAAGTCATTTGAGCGTTCACACTCCTGGGACTCTATTCTTGTACTTCGCCAATTATGGTATACATAAGCTCTGGAATCCGAGAGGATGAACCTGTTTTGGTAACCGACAGTCATGGATGGGAACGTATCTCTTGACGCTGCCCCACCAGCTTGTGGATTGGACTTCATTCAATTCAAAGGCTCAACATGCTGACCCCTTTAAGACAACCACTTGCCTGGGTCTGGGTGTTCAGTTAGTATCCCAGCCCTCGTACATATATTGATGCCCAAAATGTACCACATTTGGGTTTTAATAAAAATAATAATAATAAATAATTCATTCAAATATCCAAGAGACTACGAAATCATATCACCTCACGTTATTTACCTTCTGAATGTTTTATTTAGTCTAAAGTTATTGTGGTGAGAGCTGTCTAAAAGCTAAAAATGGCACACAGCAATTTACGTCAATGTTATACGCCCCGAATCGGGGTCATGAGGAAAACACAATAGCAAAGCTTAACCTCGAAGAACTCACCAACCACCGATCATAGCAGACTTAACGTGTGCAAAAATACGATTCGTAGATATATGGCTTAACTTTCTAAGAAACGGTCACAAATAGGTAACAGAATAACCTCCAGCAAGAAAACAACCAATCAGAAAACGTTGCTTCTTCGCTGACAATAATGTACATAAAAAACCTATAAATATATCTCTTGATTTTCTCAATACAGGATCTGTTGCCTGACCCTTGTCTTCTGTCGTTACATGATTAAAAAGAAGCTTGTTAACGTGTCAAACCATCCTATTCGAGGACAGAATTGTGTGCAAATGATTAAACACGTGCTTGAGATCACCACATGGTTAAAAAAATAGCAAAGTTGAAACTAAATAGTTAACAGTGAAGCAGCCACAAAAACACAAACAACAGAATGATGACATACCTTTGGTTGTGTATCCTTGTGTACAAATGTCAACAAGAGCAGAAATAAAGTCAAGAGGAATAATGTGAATAGATTAAGGCGCCGGACACACACAACTACACATCTTAAAAAACGACGATTGCAAAATTTGTACTCATCAAGTTAGTGAATATTGAAGCCAGTTCGTGATCAATTTTGAAAGCAATCAAATTCCCGCAAACAAACACTTGAAAATATTAATCTGATGCTCGCTAATGACTGGCTGACTACGTGGTGTGAAGTAGTTCTGGTGAGAAGTCATGACCAACGGGATCCATCAAGTTGGGTGTCAGGACGAATACCCACACTGATGACGTTGGTTAGTGGTCACGCTATTCTATTGAGAAATGACAGAACTTAGAATTCATAGACTGGTCATTGAATGGTTAGCAAGATTACCTTGTAACCTGAAGATCTAGAGCTCAATTGTTGTGAGTGTGCTCTGATGAAGAGGCCCACACTAGGATGAAACAGGTGTCCAGTACTTCCTGGATTTATAACTCGAATCATTTCGTGATCGATCTTGATGCCAATCAAATCTCTCCCAACATACACTTCAAAATATTGAAGTAGACGAACCGGAGTTCAAACCAGGGACCTCCAGGCAGAAGTCAAGGGAGAAAGGAAGGATGTGCGAAGGCTCTATTCTATAACACTTGATCGACTCCTGTCACTCTACCAACCCTAACCATGATTTTAAGATCATCTACCGAATCTATGCCAACTTGCAGCACTTCCTTCGTTATAGACTTCTAAAAACAGCGGAGGCCTTGGTCATTCATGAATTTAAGCTAGACGTTTGTGTACAAACGAAGTAAGTAAAATCCCTACTTCTGTCTTGGCCGTAGAGGGATAGTCAATCTATGTACCTTCACCTCATTCCTACGATTATTATTATTATTATTCCACTTGTCCCATTTGTCACTCTAAATCCAAAAAAGACATAGTGTTTAACGCCATTGAGTCATACATAACCTTGTCAAACAGATTATAAAACGACATGTGTTGTACGCTGACAATAACCAGTTACATCATTCTCAGCATACAGCGCTGGATTCGAACCTAGAGTCTAAAACACTGGTGTCACAATATAATCAAGAGATAATGAGAATATAGAAGAAGTTATCACAAGTAGCACAAAAATCATTGGTATGTTTATGAGTTCAGAAGTTCAACCAACAACTTACTTGACAACTTTTTCACTTCAATTTGGAATAATTTCTTATTAAATCGAAATAAGATCAGTTGTCCAACAGTCAATGGTGTATCAGCAAATTGCATGCTAAACTCTAAAGCCATTCGATCTGAATCCAGTGGTTCACTTGTAGACCTGAAAAAAACAAAAACAATAGTGAGTTGGTTAAATTACCAAAAAAAAACAAGAAAAAATTATTATTATTATCATTGTTTCCTTTAATTCCTAGAGGAACATAGGGCTTCAGCCGTGCGTCTCCATTGCGTTCGGTTCTCTGCTAGAGTCTTCACCTGGCTCCAAGTCTGCCCACACGTTTTCATCTCCTCTTCACATGACCTCCTCAAAGTCACCCTTGCACTGACGACCAATTCGCCGCTTCCCTTTCGGGTTCCACTAGAGCGATGGCTTGTCTAGTGATGTCACTTGATGGCCTGTTTCCTCAGAGTATAGCCAGCCAATCCATCTCCATTTCTTCCTGCATATTTGTTTCACAATCGGTTCCTGGTTGGTTCGCTCCCAGAGATCCCTGTTGCTGATCTTTTCTGGCCGGCCATCTGATCTTGAGTATTGAGCGAAGACAGCTAGCTGTTAATGAAGGTCTGTAGTTTGTTTGAGATGCTCTTTATAACGCGCTGGCCAAGTCTCTGATCCGTATAGTAGCACTGACTTCACATTGGAGTTGAAAACCCGGATCTTATTTTTGATGCTGAGTGCTGTTGACCTCCACACAGACTTGAGAGTAGTGAAAGCTTGTCTTGCTTTTCCGATTCTCGCTTTGATATCCTCGTCAGTTCCGCCTGTAGTTGAAACGATGCTTCCCAGGTAGGTGGTTGAAGGAGGTTGTTTCTTTCAGGCTCCTCCCATTTATGCTGATCGTTGTCTGTCATTATAATAAACCAATTAATACATGTGTAAAACTTGGGCACTGTGGTAGTAAGTAATTCCATATTAGTTTGTTTATTAGGTGTATCACACACTGAGTGAAACAGTATTATTTACTGGATGACGTTTCGAACAAAATCTATTGTTCATAATCACTTCATCAATTATAATCACACAACTTTGAAACTTGAGTTTTATAGCTTTCTTTGTCCTCTCCTATTTGTCGTCGTTCGGGTAGTAGAATTTTCCAGATATCTGACTGGACAGGTGTTGAATCATTCCCATTACACGTATTTCCTGTCAGTTGATTCGATAAACAAAGCTTCTGTTATCAATCTCTCCCTCCACCCTGTGACATTAGATTTTAAAACTGTCATCTTATCCCATCCATCCTATTGTATGGTTGTTTGTAATTGCATGTAGTGAGTGCTATAGCTGGACCATTCTCCAGATTTTTTATCTTATTACGGTTAACTAATCTAAATTTTGCTAGGTTTTTATGCTCAGCTAGTCTGACTGACTGACCCTGTTCTGATACTTTGACCTGAAAATCATTGCAGGCAGGGTGTTAGATAAACTAAATTGTTTTGTTTTAAAGGCTCCACAGGACTGGTCCTTTAACCGACAAAGCTTGTTTCTAATTGAGTTTGTGGGTTTGAATACTAGTCACTTTTATTCCTGCCTTGTTAAGAATTCTGCGTAAGGTTTCCGAGGTTCCTTCTTTGTGTGGAACTACTACTGATGATTTAGATTCCTTATTGTTGGTGTTGTCTTGCGCATATTTGACATGCATGTCGTCATTAATAGTATTATTATTATCACTATCCCTACTATCATTATTTATTTTATTTTTACATTTCCCTACATAATTTTTGACTAATTTATCAGGTTAATTATTAAGTTTATTTATGTGATAGAGCGCGAAAACTAAGTAGTACCAAGGAAAATCTAAGACAGGAAGTGAGGCATATAGAAGAAGCTTTGAAACTTAATAATTACCCTGATAAATTAGTCAAGAAATATGTAGGGAAATGTAAAAATAAAATCAATAATGATAGTAGTGATAGTAATAATAATAATAATATCTAATAAACAAACTAATATGGAATTATAATGAACCAACTTATAAACTGCACACAGATATCTGTGTAACGCGCGTGTACTGTACGCGTACGACGGTTAAACATAAACTGTGTAACTCCACAGGAGGAGTAACAGAACAACTGAATAGCAGAATTAAATACAGAATCTCTAAGTTATACAGCCAAGTTGAAGAATAAATACTATCGAGATAGTGGATCCGATTTGTTTGTTAACAGTTGCATAACTTATATGCTAACCTGTCCTCCTACGTGAAGATAAAATCCACAATCCTCCGAACACTTTGAGTAAAAATCTACGATTGTTGGGCGTGAAATTCGCGCCTGTCAAAAGTAAGATGATACTGCGTCAATTCCAGCTAGTCGTGTTTCACGATCTTTCCTGTTTCCAGGTCAACCATCGTCACCGACCCGGTGTTGTGGATCGGATTCTAATTAGTGCACCTGCCACAAGTGGCACATGAAAACGGTGTAGCAGCCAGGTCCTGCCACTCCTACTAACGGAGAAGTCACCAATGTCCCTATCTTCCTTGAGACCGCCTAAGTGGGGACGTCATCAAGTGACCGACCTGGGTTATCGCCCACTTAAGCTAATCGGATCTTACTACCCACCCCCCTCAGCTGCGCACCACCTCAACCCTCATCACCCGCTTACACGAACGATGGTACCCGGGGCGTTTCAGCCCCTTAGTGCGTGCGTGGTGCTGGCAGTGCAATTGTCCGAGCTTCGGAATCAATCATTATCTGAAGACCCTAACACTAAATCCTAGTTTAAAGATAAGGAGTGATGTGGTTGAGCATGTTGACTACTGCGCGCTTATTTGATAAGTTGAATCGGTCCTAATGAACTGATTTCTGACGAGAACTCAGCACGAATGCAAAAGGCTTATGTGGCATTTGCAAATTTTTCATCTTTTGGCGTAGATGTAATATCCGGTTATCGATGACAGCATGCGTTTACTGCGCAACAGTCCGCCGCTCTGTCCTCCTTTATGGCTGAGAGACATGACCATTGAAAGTGGAAGGTATAAAAAGGTGAGCTGCCTTTGATCACAGATATTTACTTTCTATCTCCTGTGTTCAGTGGTATAATATGATGATTAATATTGAGTTTAAACGTAGAGTGTTAGACATGGCAGGCAAGCTGTAAAGCTGCATTAATTGAGACAGCCAAACCATCGCCTTCCTTGACAAGCAATATTACAAAATTGACTACAAAAAAATTAACTGCAATCGCTTAGATGGTTGCCAGAGAATTAGTCGACTTCAAATCAATTTTTGCAATAAATCCACACTAATTAGGACAGTGTTGATCATCAAGGAGTACTGGACATCTACTTGCGTTTCAAGTGGAAAATAGGGCTTCATGTTATGAAGCTTGAATAGTACCGGTGTTGATAACCTCACTCCCAACCTAATTTCTTCCCTGGGCTTACTACCGATTAGGTGAGGTTTAAGAGTGTATTTACTGGGAATTGAGCCCTGGCCTCTCCCAAGTGGCTGGTGAGAATTCTACAATTGAACCACCGATGCACAGAATATTATTAACTACTGATAACAAGTTACACATCAGAATGGACTCAAAAAAATGAACGAATACAACTCTCCGAATTACACTGACAAGTCAAATTTGCTGCCGGATGCAAACGGAGCAGAAGATATTAGCAGACTAGCCTAACTAACGTAAGTGGCTAAAGCTTGAAAATATAACTGAATCGCTTGGAAAATTGAGCAATTGAATCCCTGAAACACATCTTCATTATCCTAAAACTTATAAGGAAGGCTAAACAAAAGCTTTTAAGTGAAAGTAAAGTATTTCAGACAGACAAAAACAGGTATTACTACTATTTTTGAGGCTAAGAAATCTAATTTACCACGCCTAGTAAGAAGTAGTGTGGCGACTGCTACTGATACGATTTATCAGTAGTACATTTACATAAAGAGATGTTCATCGGCATAAAAGCACCAAATAGGAGGGAGACAAATTTGATGTCAGAGAAGGCAAATGATACAGCATTGTGAAGATGCATAGGAGGCGTGAAAGGAACACAAAGAAAGACAAATATGAAGGAAGATCTGTGCAAACGGTACGTTGATAAAAGGCTTACATAATTTGGCTATATATAGATACACCAAATTCCATATAAACATTCCTTTACTAAGTCTTTCGTCTTCTACCGTTTCAGTAACACAGAGAACAAAGAACAGTCGTCTATATCTAATCAACAAAAAAAACAATAATTAAAATAATACTCACATCTTCTTATTATTGAAGTCTACAGCCAACACTGCAGAGCCGAGACATTCACGAGCTAAATTGAATGTATGCGGTTGAACATCAAGCGGTTCATCCAACGATATATTTCCCCATTTACGCTATAAACAATAATAATTAACAAAAGTAGGGAAAACAACAGTGGCGAATTTTTAATTCAATGATAAAAATATGATCGTGAATAAGGTGAAAAGAACACCAGTCTGTGCACAATAAGATAGTACCATCGTTTCTTCCGTCAGCCTCTCATCAGCTGCTCAAAGCCCAGAGAAATTGTGCAATTTATGTACAGAACAATTTGAACATACCTCCAAATGTGACATGATGTCACTTGATAGGAGATTCCAAACTTAATAAACACTACTCAGAAATTACACTGGTATACACGCTTATACACAGAAAGTTCAAGTTTCAGCAAAAAGATAAACGCTTGGATACAATGGCAAAGGAGTTACGCAACACAGACAGGAGGTGATGAGCAACAATGTTGTGAGTTTAACTCAAATCAGAGGGAAGGGACACGAAAAACTACACTATTCAAGTATTGGTTTGTAAGGATTTGGTTGATTGGTTACAGGATTTCATCATGAGCTGACATTGGTTAGAGAACCATTGGAAAACCTGGGAGTATTGGACAGCTGTTTCGTCCTCACACCCGACCTGCTGCACCCTACTGGTCACGACTTCCCTACGAACCAATACTTGAATATCAATGAGGTGCTCACTGGCGACTGGCCTTATTCAGGTAGGTTCCAGTGGGAAGTCGTGACCAGTAGGGTGCAGCAGGTCGGGTGTGAGGACATATACTTGCCGAAGACATTGGCTAGCGGTTGCGCTATATCGTGAACTGTCAGAAGTTAGAATTCATGGGCTGGTCATTGGATCGGGTCCCAGTGGCTTAATGGCCTACGAGCTCGCTCGCCTTGTAACCAGAAGGTCCTGGGTTCGGACCCCGGTGGGTGCGTACTGATGAAGAGTCCCAAACTAGGACGAAACAGTTGTCCAGTACTCCCAGGTTTTCCGATGGTTCTCTAACCAATGTCAGCTCATGATGAAATCCTGTAACCAAAACTACACTATGGCTAAGGAGTAGAGGTGGAGAGAGAAAGATAGACAGAGTGGGAGAGTAAATACATCCGGTTGCCAGGGAAAAGAAAGATTGATAATTATTCCTTTCTGAACAGATAAATCGGTTTTCAGCATTCATTCTGGTTAAAGTTTAACTTTCTGGGTATATATCATGTAAGTGTAATTTTCTGAGCTGTATTTATTAAGTTTGTAGTCTCCTATCAACTGACATCATGTCACATTTGGAAGTATGTTCAAATTATTGTTCTGTACATAAATTGAATAATTTCTTTGGGCTGTAAACAGCTGATGAGAAGCCAACGAAATAAACCATCTTATACTGCACAAACCATTGTTGTTCTTGTCTTATTCAACGTCTTCATGAAGGGGAATAAGTTCATGAAAGATATTATCATTATCATAAGAGGCATAATAGAAACAACTTTCTAACAAACCATACAACTGGCATAGTAACCATAACAAACTGATCTTACTAATTATTAACAAAAAATAAACTAAACTTCGAACAAAGCCCAAAAAGATCACACCGAGCAGAATAAATTGACGCTATTATTTTATCTCGCTGGTTCTTGTCAGCTGTCATACAACCACCCCACCCATATGTAATTCAATATCAATACACAAAAGATATTCTAATATTCTAGTTATGTTAATCATATAAAATGGGGGGGGGCGAAATATATACATCGGAAGAAAAGAAAGAAGCATTTGTGACCGTATATCTGAGTATATTCCAAGAAACTTGAGTCTGATAGGCAATGTAAGAGTGTTTAGTAGTGCGATTGCTCACCATTTGTTGAAAAACAGCAGTCATGAAATTGATGTATTCAAAATTGTTTAAGACAGTTAAAGTTGAAGACAAATTTCAGGTTCTTACATATCACTGAAGCAATCACCATTAAATGATTATGACACAATGCTGAAAGTGTGTGGGCAAAGTCGTACTGATGAGGAATAAGGATATAACAGGAATAAGGTGTTCCCTTTCACATGACCAGCATGCCAGCTAGCGATACTGTCTCTCCACTCTGGAGGGAGAGGGTTAGAAAAGGTCGACCCCAAAAATTGTACCTCCTGACTTCCCCACCTACGGTGGACCGTAGCCGGCGGTAAGTTACTAATACGGAATCAAAACAAAAAGCCAGTTCACATACAGGCCGTGTGTGACTGGCCTCAAGCAATTTTCTCCCTGGCTCTGCGGTCATACAACTCTTATTTTCTTTCTGTTTTAAGTATCACAATAAAAAGTCAACTTCTATGGTGTGGGCAGCCGGGAAGAAACAACCCCCCACCCACTTCCAAAAGCACACGTATCCTCCTTTATTATCCCTGTCACCCTCACCATTAAATGACTAACGCAAATTTAATGCATTCAGTGGGAAACCGTTGTTTGTCTTGCCTTATCTTGGTAAAAACAGACACTGTTGCTTAATCCCGCCATTTGTGCTATTCTTATTATATTTTGCTCAGACAATATAATTTCTTGTCTTTAGTTTTGTCTTTTCCATATTCTAGACCTGGAGGCTACCTTGTGAAATTGCCAAAGAAGGGCGACTTAGGACTCTGCAAGAACTGGCGAGGAATTATCTCCTGTCGACGCCAAGAAAAATCCTGAGTCGCATCATCCTGGAGAGAATAAAAGATGCACTGGATGCAGAATTCCGATCAGAACATGCTGGATTCAGGAAAGGCAAATCGTGTTCTGACCAAATTGCAACTCTACGCATCATCATCGAACAAAGCGTGGAATGGCAATCAAACCTCTACCTCAGCTTTATAGACTTTGAGAAGGCCTTCGACAGCGTTGACCGCGAAGTAATTTGGAAACTACTCGAGTACTACCGTGTACCCCAAATATTCATCAACCTTATTCAACAGCTGTACGACAACGGCACATGCCAAGTGATCCACAACGGAAAACTCAGTGAGGCGTTTAAAGTAAACACAGGAGTCAGACAAGGGTGCTTATTATCACCAATGATATTCCTAATTGTGGTGGACTGGATTATGCGTCGTCAGACAGTGGGAAACGAGAAGACAGGGATATCCTAGACCGACGTGAAGAACCTAGAAGACCAGGATTTCGCGGATGATTTATGTTTGATGTCACACAAAATTGAAGACTTACAAGCGGAACGGAAACCGACAAACTGGTCGAAGAAGCAGCCAGAGAAGACAGGACTCCAGGTGAACATAGACAAGACGGAGGTTATGAAAACAACCAACCAACAGCAACAACAACAACAACAGCAACATCCACCGCCAATCACCATCAACGGGAGGGATTTGAAAGAGGTTACTTCATTCACTTATCTAGGGAGCATTGTCTCAACTACAGGAGGAACGGACGAGGATGTCAAATCGAGAATCGGGAAGGCGAGAAACACATTCATCAACCTGAAACCAATCTGGAAATCTTCGTCACTCAGCATCAACAACAAAACGATTCGGATTTTCAATACAAACGTCAAGTCAGTCAGTTCTTCTATACGGATCAGAAACTTGGCGAGTCACAAAGAATACTTCCAACAGCCTGTTGCAGACCTTTATCAACAACTGTCTTCGTTCTATACTGAAGATCAGATGGCCGCCGGAAAGAATCACCAACAAGAAACTATGGGAACAAACGAAACAAGAACCAATCGCTCAACAAATATAAAGGAGAAAGTGGAGATGGATTGGACACTCGCTGAGGAGGCCGCTGGGTGACATCGCGTGTCAGGCCATCGCTCGAGTGGAACCCGAAAGGGAAGCGGCGAGTGGGACGTCGAAGGATGACATGGAGGAGGTCGTGTGAAGAAGAGTTGAAACAGCATGGACTAACATGTATGCAAGTGAAAAGTACAGCAGAAGACAGAAGCAAGTGGAGAAGTGCGGTTGAAGCCCTATTTTCCACTAGGAACCCAAGGGAACAATAATAATAATAACAATAAACCTGGTCTAATTTTTTGACCACTGTCCAACTAAATGACGTAAACTTACGTAAGTGTTGTATTGTTGATTTCACACGTCTATTCAACTTGTAACATTCATTCGTAATTCTAGATTATTTCTCAATTATTTGTAAAACAAGCATAACAACAACTTCTTTTTATCCCTTTCCATTATATGCCTCTATCTAATCACGTGATATTCATATCCATCATCTTTATGATAAGGATAACTGAATTATTTCAATAATATTTTCTATCTTTTGATATTAAAATTGTTTATACAGCCGACAAGAACCAACAAAATATGGAATTAACGTCATTACATCCTGCTCACTAGTGTGTCCCTCACACTTGCTTCCTTGCCTCGTTCAAGTTTATCAAGGGAAATAATAATTGTATGAAATACAAACTAAATTGATGTGTTTGAATAAAGAAAGAAGAACAACAGTTTTGCAGAATAAAATGATACCATTATTTTTTATTTCCTTGGCTTTTCATCAGCTCAACTGCTGTGCGTCCGTGGCACAGCGGTTAGGACTCTCGCCGACCATGCACATGGTCCGGGGTTCGATCCCCTGCCGACGCACACCCGATATCAATGGCCGGCCTGCAAAATTTGGGCTACCGATATCACATGCTGAAAATTCCATACTTGTGCCAAAAAATACTGTGTGCTTTCAAGCTGTAATCAAAAAATTAAAATCAGAAACAATTTTAAAATATTTGCGCAGAGTTCATTTTTAAACAAAAAAATCAATCAATCAGTATATGCATACAATGCTAATAATAATAATAAACACTTTATCCCAAACAACAATAATAATCATACACAATGGAAACTTTCGGCGTTTTACCAGGTATCTTCATGTCCAACCTTGAAAGAACAAAGTTGAAGTATGCAATCGACGAAACAACTTTTTACTGTCGATATGTCACAGATAACACGTTTGTAGTGTGCAACAATGATAGTCATGCTTCCTACCAACCTACTCAGATTATTTAACGACGCACATACCAATATTGAATTTACTATGGAACATAAAAATGATGGAAAGTTCCATTTCCTTGACATTGCAATG